CCAATGGCGGCCGGTCTTGTGACATAAAGGGAGTATCAAGTCCCCAGTCAAGCATTGCTGCAGCATCAGTTGGGATTTGAGCAGTGCCGTGAAATTGTACCTCTCTTCGCTTGGTGTGTGACAAAGTGGTGTGTGAAGGATGGTCTGTGACGGTGTGTGAAAAATGGTGTGTGACAAAGTTGTGTGTGAAAGATGGTGTCTGAAAGATGGTGGGTGACAAAGATGGTGTGTGGCAAAGTGGTGTGTGAAAGATGGTGTGTGACAAAGTGGTGTGTGAAAGATGGTGTGTGAAAGATGGTGTGTCAAAGATGGTGTGTCAAAGATTGTGTGTGACAAAGTGGTGTGTGAAAGATGGTGTGTCAAAGATGGTGTGTGAAAGATGGTGTGTGACAAAGTGGTGTGTGAAATGGTGTGTGACAAAGTGGTGTGTGTGAAAGAGGGTGTGTCAAAGATGGTGTGTGAAAGATGGTCTGTGACAACCTGGTGTGTCACAGATGGTGTGTGACAAAGTGGTGTGTGTGAAAGATGGTGTGTCGAAGATGGTGGGTCCAAGTGCCCCGCCAGAGCCAGCCCAGTGCTGTCAGTGCCACGCCTGCCACGCCAAACGAAGGTGGATGTCACCAAGTGCCACGCCTGCCACGCAAAAGTGCCGCGGCGTCCCGGGCGACTAAAACCAGCCCAAGCGCGCCACCCAGTGCCATAAGTGCCACGCCTGCCATGCGAAACGAAGGTGGATGTGAGATTGTGCCACGCCTGCCACAGTTATTGTATGTGAAAGATGGTATGTGACAAAGTTGTGTGTTAAGTTTGTGTGTGTGAAGTTATTGTATGTGAAAGATGGTATGTGACAAAGTTGTGTGTTAAGTTTGTGTGTGTAAAGTTATTGTATGTGAAAGTTGGGCGTGTGACAGGGGGGAGGAGGCGGGAGGAGGAGGCGACCCGGGATACAGAATCAAAAACAAGAACCCCACACAAAGTTGTGGGGAAAAATGGAAATCTGGAACTCCTCGGGCGGAGTGCCAGGAGCTTCCTACCCAGCCTGGCCTGCCGGAGGGCTCCACTTCTGCAAGACAGGGAAGAAAGAAGACGCCAGAGCAAAAAAACCGTCCACGCACGTGCACCGTGAAGACTCTCTTGGAGAGATTTTCTTTGGGATGCAGCCGATCTGTGGCACGGTTCTTGGAAAATGAGAAAAAGGCGCAAAAACGAATCAATTGAGCCCAACAACAACCAAAAAACACTCCGGCAGTCGAGGACGCAGTTCCAGAGCTTTCCTCTTCTTGGTCAATTGGATCATCTTCGTCCTTCTTCAAAGTTTGTATGCAGTTCACTGATGATCTCGATCTCCCGATTCTCGACCAGGCACATGGCGTACATCGTGTTCCACATTGGACAGTCGCGCAATATCTGATCCACTGTGTAGTTCTCATAGGACGTGGTTTGCGTCAACTTCGACTTGTTCCTCTTTGCGTTTGATGTTGAAGTTGATCGCATCGTGCCCTGGAAGACATTAATTGACGCTTCCAGACCGGGAGACGCGGTAGGCAAATCGATCATGTCCCCCGTCGTTGCTCTCCAAGTAGAACTCCTCACGGATGACCATGTACTGCTTTCCACGTTTTCCCATCAAGATTTGCGTCATTTGATCACGTGGTACCCTCACTACACCATAATGTGAAATTGCTTTCAAGAGAGCTTCACCGAAGGGGATTCTCTTGTTGCTCATCATGGCGTAGGTGATGTCCTTGAGGAATTGGACAAAATTCACATTGAGGATCCGTGACCGGATTCCCTTTTTCGGCCATTCTGATGGTGAAGTTCTTAAGTCCCAACCTACGCTGATAGAATTGGAATGCCACCATGTTTCTTGATATAAAAGGTTTTTAAAAATCAGATTGAATCAGATTAGGTCCTACGCTATGTTGCCTATGTTCCCGGGATGGCAGGGAACCTTGCAGATAGGGGGGGGTTTTCGCACTTAGAACCTCCTAAATCACAACCTATACTGATAAAATCTGCCCAGATTTGAGTGCCCACATGTTTCTTCATTAGGGTTTTGTAGAATTGATTAGATGTTGCGTATGTGCACGGGACGGCAGGGAACCAGGCAGATAGATGCGGACTTTCACACTAAGAGCCTCCTAAACCACAACCTGCACTGATGCGGACTTTCACTGATCGGGCATTCCCAGATTGGAGTGCCAACATGTTCCTTGATAAAGGTTATATTTTTGTGACCGTGGCTTTGTGTTCTATGTGCACCAGCCGAGTAGTGGTGATGGATTCCGCCTCTGAGTGGGATTGCTACGTGGCTAAGACCACCAAGGGTTTTTATATAGTGACCGCTGGTACGCTTAGCAGTAAAAGAATGTGATTCGTTCCACATTATATCGATTATAGTGCGTTTTATAATCATGGTTATGTTGAACATGTTATGCTATATATTTTTGCCAGGTAATAGGAATGATTGGCTGTGAGGCAGATGGTTGGGGGACTTCACACTTAGAACCCCCCCTAACATAGCCGGACTCGCACTTAGAACCTGGGGAGGCTCTAAATGCGCAAAAACTTCCATACCCGAGTATAATTTCAACAGGTTCTAAGCACGTGTCCGGCACTGTAATCAAAATTTGAGCTTAAAGTCCTGTGCGTTTGGATTTTATAGAGATGCGGAGGGTTTTGAAATTCAAGCAGGGGTTTGTGCGAGGGATTCCAAAGTGCGTTTTCTGTTTTACGAGGGTTGTCCGAAAAGGATTCTATGGTGAAAAATTTACACGATAAAGTCACGGTTTACGGATTGCCCTATTTGATATTTGAGGGGATCTTGTGACAGACACACCGACATTCAGGCAGAACCGCAATTTGCAAGTCACAACGTCCAATTGCTGTGTTCAATTTAACAATTCATTCCTTATTGCTGTAATCATGTTGGCTGTGGTTTTTTTGAATGGCAACAGTGATGCTTTCAAGAACATAGACCATCAATGGATGGTGGGTTCGTCGAACTCAAACTCGTTTATTTCTACTGCCCAAAAAAAATGATTTGATTTATTGTGGCGCAAATCAACTTGAATTCCATCAGTTGGAAAAAACATACTGCTCGATGCCCTCAAGCAAAACCAAGATATTGCATGTTGCACGGACAGATTGCTTGTTTCAGCTTTGCCTGGTTCAAAAATCACGACACATCAAGGGCAAAAATTGTACAGTTGCAGCTCGGCCACTTACAAGACTTCACTGACACACAGAATGGCGACTAGGAAATTGCCAGAATGGCAAAGAATCTGTGCAGTTTGATTTGTTTTGCCTCGCTTGGGGCACTATCGTCAACATGGTAAACATTATCACTTCATGTCACTTCCACTTCTTTTCTTGCAGGTTTTTCCCCCCGCAATGCTCCCGTTTTCTCATGGGACGTGGCGCCTTGTTGGACCAGCTGAGATTGCTCAAGGGATTTCAGCGCAGGAGGGCCATGCGGTGTGGACGAATGAAAGACAAAAGTTTCGTTGGTGGAATGAAATGGGTTCACTTGCACATTTCAATCTGCAACTCAACACTTATACTATAACATGTCCTATATATATATAACTCATAATTTTGTAATTTGACCCTTTCTCCAACCGTTGTATGGTTGAAAAATAATTCATTTTGAAGATGCAAAAAAAATGTAGACTCTTGCCTGGTGTAAAGCAAAATCCATTTGCATGCTTTTCTGTGTTAGGAGCATGCGTCGAAGATAGCTTTGCCAAGACAGAGCCTTGCTGGGATTGGAAGGCCTCCGATTTTGTCACTTCATGCAGGAAATTTCTCGAAGTGTAGCTTGATCGGTCAGCCAAGTAGCGCTGTTCTCTCAGTTCATCAAACGATGGCCAGTGATGTGAACACCACATTGCTGTTGCTTTATAGCAGTGGCAAGCGTGGCCATTCTCGAGGCTCCGACCTGACGGCCACCAGGTGCCTCTTTTGAAGCAGAGACAGCAGCCTTTCACCCACTGAGAAGTCTGCGTTGTGCCAGGGCCTGATAGGTTCAGCATTGGGGCACGGATCCTTAGAATCAACATTTTGAAGGGTTTGGAAAGTGAGAACCCAAGAACAGGGGAATTATAGAGCTGTGGATCTTGGTGTTTTGCTACCCTTTCTACAAGAAAAACTTGCCATGGGACCAATGGAAATGCTGACAACTCATGGACTACAAACCCGCCCATGCTTTACTGAGACTGTAATTGGTACTCTCCTGTTCTGACATTGAGAAATGCAATTTGTAAAAAATTGTAAACGACTGCAATAGCTACTTGTAACCAGCGCCCGAAATCGTCACATGGCCCTTGAACACTTCAATCCACTGCAGGTTGGCTGCCTGGAAGGTGCCTGTAGATTTGTACAGGTGAGCTAAAGCCCTTGAAGCACTTGATGATTGACTTCCCCCCGACCAAGTATTGGTGCTTTCCATATCGAAGTGGCAACTGCACCTCTCAAACAAAAACCGGATTTTCCACACACAAACACAGCAAAGCAGAGATGCGTGGATTCCTGGTGATGCCCCTTTTGTTTGTATTTCCATCGCTTTGATTGCTACGACACAACTCCAGCTGCTTGGCTCAAAAACATGAGAGAATGAATCTGTTCTGCTGTGGGCCACCCAACAATCAGAAAATTTCACTAGTTGAACAATCAGCTCATGAGCTGCAGAAAAGAAGTTGAACGGCCAGAAGTCCATCCAACAGGACACAACTTAATGACTGATGCTACAGCTTCAGCAGGAAACGCATAACTTCCAGGCTTTTTCCACGACGCCACAAACTTTTTGAGAAGCATCAGCGGCAGCGCCATTTGTGCATATACTGACCATGGATTCCAGGTGTGAAATTTCATGTGTCGGACATCTTGCGATATTCATTCGAGGTGTCTGAGGTTCATTTGATTGATATTGCTTGCAGATTGTGTGACAGATGGTTTTGGTGAAACATGGTGAAACAGCTGTGGTCGCAGCTCCTTTGAAGGAGGCAGTCCGTGGTCGCGCTGCTGGTGGTGTTGCTGCTTTTTCGCTGGGCGGGCGAAGGCACCTTCTCTGCTTGGAGGATCTTGGAGGTATCGGATCGCAGGACTGTTCCGCCTCCGCTGTCCAGGCCTTGAAGCTTTTGCCGGGCTTAGTCGACGTCTTCAAAGCATTGGCCTTTTGGGAGATGTGGCAACCAGGCGCCAAGATGCGCCAAGATGCGAAGGATTTTCTCGATATTTTCTCCTGTATCATTGCTGTATCATTGTATCATGTCGGAGTATGACCTCGTTTGCATCCTTCATGCAGATGTTCAATGTGTTGTCTTTTTAAGCGCTTTGAATGGGAAGTCCTGCAGGTCGAAGCACACTGTTCGTCACGTTGTACAGGAACCACCCACAAGGAGCGCCCTTAGGGCAGTTGCAGCGGCTGCGTTGGATCAGTCGGAGTTTCTGCAGGATGCGTCCTCCGGATGTAGAAGATGCCGTCCGATCCAAGGCAGCGGTCTCTGGTGGTTAGGAAGGGTTTGGAGCTACGGGATAATATAGGTATCCATATTGCGGAATGGGAAGCCCAAGAGCTACTAAGGATTAAAAAAGAAATGAATTTGAAATGAATATGGGGGCAACAGGTGAGTTTCCGTTTCCGTACCACATTCTGTTGTGATTTCACTGTTTTTATATATATGTTATTTTATGATATTTTATGTATTATATATACATATTTCATATTTCTGTTATTTTCAATTCTCAACAAATGAATGGACGTTGTGCACTGTCCACCCAGGTCACCAGGGCACTGTCCCCTGCGCTGTTCCCAGGCTGCTGACTGGGCAGAGTGCATGGTGCAGTTTGGGGATGGATCCTACGATGCCGAAGAGGCAAGAACTGTCAGCTGTAAGATGCTGTAAGCAGAATCTGTGATATCTGTGATTACTCAGATCTTACTCAGTGATTACATGTAGAACCGATTGTAATCAGATCCGTTTTCACATGTTTTCATGCTTCAGGTCGTTTTGATGCAGAATGCAGCATTTCAAAGCTTCGAATTTGGTATTTTCGCAACCGGTGATGAAGTTGCAGGTGTGGGTTTTCAGGCGCAAAGACTTTGAGGTCTGGATCCCAACATTTTACCATGGCAGCTTTCCCTTGCAGAAATGACCATGGACATGTTAATTGTTGCCGTTTTCTAGGACTCTGCTGGTACGCCATCGACTGTGCAGATTCGGATGAAATGGTTCATGCCAGTTCCAACAACCACATTCCGTCAATCGTAAATCATAGAGCAGAGAGGTTCAAACCAATGATACTCCGTGGGTGAATCTATCAATAGCCTTCAGATAGTAAGAACACGGGGAACCAGTATCTCAAGAAATAAAGCCCTTGGACTCTGCAAGTTCATTTGGAGGCTGCAGACTTCAGGAAAAAAACATGTTTCATGAATGTCCCAGATGCGCAGAGCTCTAAGGAATTTCAGCGCCTCATTGGGTTGCGTTTGAGTTATCGGAAGCCTGGTCACGGTCAGGCGCAGCCAATTGAAAGTGTGACCATCTGAGACCATCTGACACCATTTGAGACAGCCAAGCACTGCTGTGACTCGCAGGAAGGTCCTGCACGTTATGGAGAGGCAAGGCGAGAGGAGGTGCACGCGCCTCCTGTGTTCAGGTCTTGATAGAGCTGATAGAGTCTCCGGAGGGACAAGCGGTTCATTGCTTCCACCTGGGATGTCACACACTAATTTCTGGTCGAATAAATTCCAGCTTTGCTTGGTGTCACGAATTCTTCAACCCTGAGTTTGAAAGGCACTTCTGTTTTCTCTCCAATAGCCGTTTTGGCAACATCCAATCAGCAGGGTAGGTAATCAACCATGCCATTGGCAATCGACCCTGCCATCAACATGTGGGACCAGAGTCAGTGGGATCCTGTCAACAGCAGATTCAACGGATCAATGCCATCTGCACTTCCTGGTATCCAGATTGGCGGGACCTCAAGCCCTTGGACCTTGCCTCTGCCTGATCCCTTTTCCTTTCCTGGTGGTCTCGCGGAAGAGTTTCCTTGGGAATCAGCCCTGCTTGGTGAATCGAGTGAACCCAGATATGTGCAGCTTGGTCAACTTGGTCAATTTGATGCGCCGCAGTCAGTTCGAAGCTTCGGAGGTGTGCCGCGTGTACCTTTGGAGACGGCTGTCTTTGGAGCTCAGGAGTCCTTGCCACATGAGCGTCGTGAGCGTCGCCCATATGCTCCGATTGCTCCACGTCAGAATGCTGTGGGTCCTGTGGGCCATGTGGGCCCTGTGGGCATCCCGGTGACCTCATCTTTGGATGCACTCGAGTCCCGTGCCGCCCAGACAGCTCTGGCAGGCCATAGGTCAGTGACCGTTTCTCCCGTAGTTCGCGATGATCCTGGCTTGTCGGGTCAGCGACTGAAGCGAGTACTTCATGTGAAGCAAGCACCGTGGTTTCCAACGCTTTCAACTGCATCCTTTTCCCAATCTTTTCCAAAAGCCATATTTATTTTTTCATCCCCCTGTTTTTATCCAACCCCGGAAGCAACTTCCAAGGCACCGATCTACAAATATGCAGAGTGGTGTGCACACTGGATGCAGAAAGGCGGCAGGACATCAAACGACCCGATGACACCTCGCTCAGAATTGACCAAATCCGAGTTCGATATTCAATATGGAGCTTGGAGAAAAGCTTTAGTTGAAGGCCCACCAAACAGAGCATGAGCTGCTGCCCATGCCTACTTGATACATCTGGACACTTCCTGCATGTTCAGCCTGTAGCTTTCCAACCTGCAGCTCTGAGGCTTTTGCTTCGGAAGAGTTGCTGTGCCAAGCACAGCGCTGTCCCACGCTGCACCTGTACTTTTAATCTTAAGTCGACGAGAGCTACACGAGAGCTACCGGACATTTGGTTCGCTGTCACTACCGGCTCAGTGCTGGATCTTTTTTGCACAGATAGATAAGGTCTTGACTGGTCAAGATTTGTGGGCCTTGCCTATTCTGATTCCTTTAAAATTACGTCTTGCGTTGGCTCTTTTGCAAGAGCCAGTACGAAAACACTTTCTTTTTGCGGAATTCGTTGAATATTGTACAGGATCCGCGTCAGGACACTGTATGCATGCGACGAGGAAAACTGCCCAAAGACTTTTTTTCGACAGCTTAACATCATACACTTGAGTTGGAAGCTCTCCTTACAAAACAGCTGGTGTTCATGTCCTTCACATTTGGTTTTCAGATTTTTTTTGATGATTTAAGTGCAAAATAGACTGGACTCAACATGACTCAACTGCCCGACAGTTTGCACCAGGCCATGCAGGGCACAAAAGTCATCTGCCGAGAGAGGCTGCGCTTGGGAGGTTTTGTAGCTGAACATTAAGGGGGAAACCATTGGAAACAAGATGATTGAGGCTTCAAACAGTGACATTCCACACAATTTGACTGGAACTTTGGAATGTGACTCACGTGCTCGAGAGGAAGCAAGATTCCGATGTACTACTCTACTGTAGTGCACATGTTGTGCATGCCACAGGGGCTTCGATCCTGACTTGCAATGCTGGCAGTGTGTGAAAGTTTTCACAGGCCGGGGCTGGAAGGGACTGGAAGGGACTGGAAGAAAGGGGGAATTTGCGGCGCCTTTGTTCTTTGTATCGCTCGGATCCCTTTTCGACTTGGGATATGCTGAGGGAGCGATAAGAAGAAACAGCATCCCTTTCCATGATACCGCAGACTTCTTTGCAGGGGCTGATAGCTTTCTGCACATTGGGTGTAGCAGACAGTATGAAGCCCACGCCTGTCTGAAGATGTGTGAAGTCTGAAGGTGGTGTTTACCAGGATGCCGGTATTGCGGCACGAGCCCAAGATCCCCTTCAGACCTGCGGATTTCCTGCAGATTCCTGTTGTGATATGTGATGATTCATGTGTTGAGACGCTTCACTGTGATGTGTGCTGGGCAAATTCATGATGGCCGTGGTCCTCGTAGTGACTACCTTGCAAGTTCTATGTACTATATATGGGTATCCATATACACTCTCTTCAGATTCTGCTGTTAAGGATCCTGAAGATTGCTGACCTTTTCATGCCGAGGTGCCTGCACACCCCGAAATGCAGGATGTGGTGCAGTGCCTTTCACTTTCTGTGGGTGAAGTTGAGGGGTTGGTAGCTCAAAGTGAAAGTCGGACAGACTTATGCAAAACCAGTGGGACTTTCACAAGACCGGACGAACTTGGCGTATTCGGAAAAAAATGCTCCACTAAGTATTGACATGTGATTCAACATGATTTTGAGATATTTCGAGAACATCATTGATGTAAGATGATGCTTATGAAGATCATGTAAGAGACTCACATCATTTCAGGAGTCCGGCCCACTGAGGACTGGCGCCAATGCTACTCCGGGTCAGGCCGTACTCTGGTGAAGTGGTGAGCCATGACATGCTGAGGAAGCCAAGTCTGTACTACTACGTTTTGCATCAGCATCATAGGCTGAGGGCGTGTCATCACTTCAAAAACCATGAAAGATCAGAGCATATACATGTGTTTGCGCTTCGGAGTTGGGTTTCACAAAACAAAAAGCCACTGCACTTCCGCAACTAAAAACGCAAAGTACTTACTGTGATCGTTTGTTGTTTGGCAACGACAAAACTGACCCAAACTGGCGTCCAGGCTGTGGCACGGAATCGCTCACCCTTGAAGCAGACAGCTTTCTGCAACTACGCTGGATTCCCGGTTGACACAGATTGCGGCTTCTTGGTCTCTTGGACAGAAGAAACGAGGGAACCAAGCAATCACACACGCACATATGGACCTGGCAGACAACTAATATGTATCTGTATACCAGTATTCTGTATTATTGTATCATTCGTATTCTGTATTCCGAGCGATTCCCTGAGTGTTGGGAACTTTGTGCAACGTGTCAGTTTTCGCGGTGGCGTTTGGTTCGCAATCTTTTCTTTGGCTCGACAAGTTCCGTATAGGATGATCATGGAGGTCAACAGACAGCAGGCAGTAGATGGAGGAGCCCCATATCATCATCTCTCCTCACTAGATTGTCAATAGCGTCACTAGATACACAAGAACACAACTTAAAACAAGTGACTGGGATTGATTTTGGCTGGGAGGCTGCGGAGATACGAGTTCGTGAAGCTTCAACAGCAAACAGGGAATACTTTTCTTCGTAAAGTTTGCATATAAGCCTTTTTCGAAAGCGTATGGTTCCTTCGTTCCTTCAGCTTGCCATGGTGCACCATTGAGCGGCAATGCGTGGAGAAGGTGCTGTCAAAGCTCCTCACTGTAGGCTGTGTTAAAGCCCTAGAAAATGGTCGGCACCTCGTCTGTACACGCGAGAATCAACTCGTCTATACACGCGTTTCTCTTACTCGTCCTTGGATGCGCACATTCTCATTGCTGGCTGTTACATCATTATCATCATTATCATCATTATCATCATTATCATCATTATCATCATCATCATCATCATCATCATCATCATCATCGTCATCGTCATCGTCATCGTCATCGTCATCGTCATCGTCATCATCATCATCATCATCATCATCATCATCATCGTCATCGTCATCATCATCAGCATCGTCATCATCATCATCATCATCGTCATCGTCATCATCATCACCATCATCATCATCATCATCAGCATCAGCATCAGCATCAGCACCACCACCACCATCATCATCAGCATCATCGTCATCATCATCATCATCATCATCATCAGCATCAGCATCAGCATCAGCACCACCACCACCATCATCATCAGCATCATCGTCATCATCGTCATCATCTCTTCGTCATTGCGTGGCATATAGTCCCTGTGCCAAGAGCCAAAGGACGTTATCACACAAGATCTGATGGCGCGGTATTATGTCGGTGAGCAAGTGCAAGAGGAGATCTCATAGCATAGCAATGCATAGCGTATAGTCTTTGTGCCAAGAGCCAAAGACGTTATCACACCCACCCCACCCCACCCAACCCCAGCCCAGAGCCAGAAGAAGATTTGATAGCATCATGCTTGTGTGCAAGTGCAAGAACATCTCACAGCGTAGCATATAGCCCCTGTGCCAAGAACCAAAGGATCAGTGGTCAATGCTTCTGTGTGCAAGTGATCATGAACGTTATTAGCACCGCACCCTACCCCACCCCAACCCACCCTAACCCCACCCCACATGATCAGTGGTCAATGCTTGTGCGTGCAAGTGAACATGACTTTATGAGCACCCCACGCCACCCCACCCCACCCCAACCCACCCCGACCCATCCCACCCGAACCCGACCCTACATGATCAGTGGTCAATGCTTCTGTGTGCAAGTGAACATGAACGGAAATAGCACCCCACCCCACCCCAACCCCACCCCACCCCTGTGTGCAAAGACGAGCCAAATGTGTGTGCGCAAATGAGTCAGAAAATGTATGACATGCTATAAATCCCTGTGTGCGCAGATGAGGTCCCTACCCTAGAAATTTGATTGAATATGATTGAACCAGAAGTCACTTTGCATCACTTTGACAATCTTTGACACATGTTCTTCAGCTTTAACCCAGCACTTCTGAGTTCCTCTTGCAGGCTCGTACATTCTTCTCAAAGCCTTCCAGCAGCTATGTGCACCTCCTGGTATGAGGGTGACCAGTGGCTGGCAGCCGTCTCTGAGTCTTGGTTTGGATATCGGTGAGAACTCATCGTTTGTGGTCGAGTCAATCCGCTTGATCAATAAAAAAACATGCGGGAAAAACACAATTGAAAGGCATTGGGCGTCATCACCAACTCGTGTGGTTGCCTCCAGTGTAAGTTCTATATGCAGTGTGTTCCTGCCCCTATGACACCGAGGAACATTAGAGACTTTGAGCATGTCGCCAGCTTACCAACAGAAGCACTGAATACTTTGACATTGTGTATCCAAGCAGCCTGAACTGGTTTGCTCTGCATCCTTTGCAAATTGGTCTCCAACTGGTTTACCTGCTGCGCACGTGTCTCGACAAGGGTGGGACAACAATGTCTGGCCTGGTGAGCGACGTAGACATTCGTGTTCCGGGCCTGAATACAGTTGTCGGGAGGATCTCGCACTTCTCTTGACTTTTTCAGCGACAACTCGTTCTGACCCTCCTTTTTTTGCAAAACAAAATAATGAAATTTACTGTAAGCAAAATTATGTGATGTGGTTCCTTTGGCCATGGTCGAGAGGAGTGCCTTAATTCTACTGTGCCCTGAGGCTGGAAAGGAAATTCTTGGATTTCCCACGCACACCCGAGTGGCTTGACAGCACGCATTCTGAGGCAGTTCCTCAGACAGTAGCGTAAAAACTCAACGCAGCGAGCTGATTTGATTGTAATCTACATATTGCATTTAGAATGTATATAGATCATTTAGATATATTATGATATATTTGGAATATATATGATAATATCAGATATTTACTTGAGGCGGAAGCACACAAAGCCTTTGCATGCTTTCTCAAGTAGAGACAATATTGAACTAGCACTGATGCGTCCAATTTCACTGATGGGCCTAGGCCTAGCTTTCCGTGTGTTGTGGTCCCTGAGCTGTTCGTCCAAGGTCACCGACGAACAGCTGAAGGAAGATCGATTTCTTGGCTGTCGAACTCTTGGTGTTTCTGGTCCACTTGGCAAATTTCACCATATTTCACCATCCTGAGTTGATAGTCATGCTATGCAACTTGGTCCGGAGAAGCATCTTCTTTGGATAATCAAAGTCGCTCAGGTGACACCGACGTTGAATCCTTAAAGACCAGCTGTGGCTATGCAAAGCATGCGCTTCTTGGCCTTCTACCAAAATGGCTCGAAACCCTTGAATTCAGCAGTGGGTGAAAGTACATGCTCGCCATGCCCTGTGTTCTAAGGATGTGGGTAGCCGAGAAAAAGCTGGAGGTGTTGGGCACTGATGCCGAAGCCTTGCTAGGTTTCAGCCTTTCGGTGTACTAGCCTTGCGGAATCATAAATGGTTTCAAGATGTTTCACACAGGTGTACTACCTGACATATATCATATATGGCTTTACTTCGCTAAGGCATTTTATTGTGTCACTCTGGAAGTTGGAGCATCATGGACACCTTTCTTTTGTGGAACATCATCCAAGGAGAATGCGAAAGGTTGGCTACCAAGTTGGATTCGGCATCGACTGGTGGAAACTTGGGCAAAGAAATCACAAAATGTTCACAGGCCTTTCTCAATTTCCAAAATTGTCCACAGGTCTTGCTATTCTACTAGCGTTGCACACCACTTTGGGTGACTTGCTGGAAGGAAACTGGTGACGCAGAGAAGGACTACTGGTCAGCCTGGATTCATAGCCTTCCAAAGTATGAGGCCAGGTGCAACTTGAAGACTGACGTGCTGTCCGTGCTGTAAGTCATTCCTCCCTGTCCCAAATCTTTTGCCCTGCTTGTGGACTCGCCACTGTCAATGCTTTTGCTGGCCATTGTCACCATGTCTTTCCTTGGAAAGTGCTGTTTGAAAGGGCTCAATGCAAAGCATTTAGAAGTAACTCGTTATCAAGATTTCAATTCCACTTGCCTCGATGAAGCAGTGCGAGAGCACAAGAGCACAGGACTATGAAGGTCTTGGCCTTCCGCTCACTGCGTCCCCCACAGAGCTGGGGAAGCTGCGAGGAGAGCATTGAGTGCCTTTTGCATCCTTTTGTATCCTTTTGCTCAAGGATTTTTTTTCACGTATTGCCGTATTGTCCATTTTCATCCATTTTCCCTTCCTCATTGATTCCTCACTTCTGATAGATTCTGGTCGGCTTTCCACATGCTGTGCAGAGTGGTCTGGTTCGCTTTGATTCCCAACTGAGCTTCAGAGGACTTCCCAAGTTTGGAGATGTACCTTTGCAGCAGTGGATTGTTTTCAAAACTGTGAAACAATCCTGCAATATGTGATGTTTGGTAGGTTGGACACGTCAAGCTGTCAGCACATAAGTTGGTTTGACCAACTTCGGCAATCAGATATCTAGAACTGCTTTGCATGATGCCGGCGCCTTAATTTTGTTCCCCAGGTGCCTGCATGGACGCAAGATCTCCAGGAGACTGGTGCTGCGTTTGCAAATGCATGCACGTATGCATTTCGGTGTGAAATTCTATGTGAAGCAGACCCATGAAAGTAATTTATTGTTTGGCACTTGTGAGTAACATCGTGCACATATGTTTCGGGTCTGTCTTGACAAAGTCTGGCAGGATTCGCTGAGGAAAGAGCTTGACTTCTACAATGCACACCGTGGTGCTCGACCGGAGATTAGCTGGAAGGAAGCGCCGATTTGAATCCATGTGATGGGGACCTTGAGCTGCTGTACAGTGCAGGTTTCATCGGGTTTCTAACTTGCAGCTTGACTTGATAGTAACTTGATAGGTTAAGTTAAGCCAATGAGCGTTAAGTTGCGGTCAGTTTCAGCGTTGTGAATGCGTACCAAACATTACCCCAGATTGGCGTGTCGTGCAACTCAAGGACGCCCTGTGGGGACTCATGGCATCCTTCACAAGGTCCTTCGACTGCTCCTCGCTTTCAAGTTGTGAGTCTTGGCGTTTCAAGAGACCAGTTTCATTTAATTCCAATATCTATAATGATAATAACTATAATAATAATTGTAATCGTAATAAGAGTAATAATAATGATATATAATAATAGATAAATATATGCATACATATATGATAGAATCATTGATGATATCTTTCCTGACTAGTTTCAACGTGTTTCAACGTGTTTCAACGTGTTTCAACTTACATCCAAGGTGGTGGCCAGGGGCACATTACAATGGCACCTGTTGGCGTGGCTTAGATAGAGAAGGGTGGGACCGACTGCAGACAATTCTTGGGTGCCAACGGAAGATGGTGATTTCTAGACTTCCAGTACTTCAGTCTTGCCAATCCCTTTGGAATGTCTAATATAAGGACGCCCTCAGCTCATTGTCTGGTTGACTATCCAATGTTGGGGGACTCAAATAGACTGGATCTCAAGTTGATGAAAGCTGAACTTGACTTGCTTCCCTTCTCAACTTCAGAAACAACGTCACAAGAGCAAACACCAGAATCTGCACACTTGAGGATATGGTCAATCATGCTTCGGCCCCGAATGTTGCAGCTTGGCAGCCAGACTCCTTGTCAAGGATAATCGGATAACCTTTTGGTGGATCAGTCATATTTAATGGCAATAAAGCAATTGCTGAGAATTTCCGCACAAATCGTAATTTTGTGAAGAGGTCTATTATTGCGAACGCGATATGCTCAAGTTCACCACACGCCGGCCAATCAAGGCCAGGTTCGACAGAAGTCTATCTCAAAAGTGTTTGAACAACTCGGTTCGAAAGCCATCTGGCCTGGCATTTTCCATCATTTTCCTTGTGCTTCTTCAAAGGCTACTGTCATAGAAAGCTTGATGTTTTTTTGGTTGCTCTCGTTGTTTTGTTGCTGAAACTGCCAAGTTCTTCCAGTCCCGCCTGGAACTAGGCCGGCGATGAACTGCTGGTAGCCTATCACCCACCCAAGGCACATTCACTGCTGAGTGCTGCGTATCAGATGATGCACTTGGACATATCTTCCAGAAACGAAAGGACTCATACGTTGATGCTTGATGCCACAACCAATAGGAGCTTGCACCTTTGTGAGAAGGATGTGGAGTCCACTTTAATTTATATATTTGAATGTACTTTCAATATCTTTCAATATCTTTCAATCATGAACGATGTGATACGATGTGCGCAAGGGTGGCAGTGTTACTTTGCTCTCGCAGTATGGCATTCTGGACAAAGAATCCGAGCCTTGGAAGGCTAGGTAACCAGGTAGAAATCATGTGGGGCGTCACGTGCGTCCCACCCTGAAGAATTTCCCAAAGCTGTTCCAGTTGCCCATAATTCAAACCGAGGACAGGGGCAGCTGGTCACAAGAAGATTGCCAACTGCTGCGCGATGCACATCTTGAACAGCGACATGTTTGCAAAATCAAAACAGATGTCACATATGTTTGCAGTTGGATTATTGATTGACGATGCTTGACCCTACCCAACCCATAAAACAACAGCATGAGAAAATTCGAGACCAGCAAAGCACCACCCCAAATCACCAACAAGTACTTGACTGCTTGACAGGCTTCCCTGAATGGCTTAGATGCAAATTCGGAAGTTGAGGTCTTCAAACCTTTACATGAAGAATGCCGCGAAGCTGATCGACATCAACTGCCCTGCGAGGCAGCCTGGCTTCCGGTGATTGGTCTTAGAATGTGGCTACATTGGCTACTGTGCACAAGGTAGGCCTGATGTGTGGTCAAAAGATGAAAAAACACAGGAATCCTCAAGGTGGAAGCATCTGCCTTTGCATTTGCTCGTTTTGAAGTAATGTTTGTATTATATACAATAAAGACAATGCATTCATACATATCGGAAAAAAAGCTGCAAACAGATACTGTGACAATCACTATTCTCGGCTTGCGTGGCTTTGACATCAGGGCCAAAGGTGTAGACGTCCTTCAAGCCAAAGTGCCATTCCAGGCCCTTCAAAGTGTCAAAAGCTCTGAGGACAAGTCAACTCTGTTTGATTTCATCAGATGTTTGTTTTTTTTCCTTTTTTTCCATTTTCTTCCGGTGTTTCTTTGCATTGTGACGCCTCCGTGGCAGGTGCCAGCACCCTGTATACAAGGGTTCTCACGAAGACGATTGCGCTTGCACAACTTCTTGTGAGGCCCTAGCCCTAGAATCTGCAAATGTAGAGATACAGAGGAGACTCAATTCGGCCGCTTCTACCATGACAGATACTGTGCACTTCCAACGTTCTAACACGTCCTGCCACAAGAGTGATGTGCTTTTGTGGCATTGCAGGCAGCCACAGCGCCGAATGTCAGCGAGGAAAATGCAGCTACGGCTTGCTCGTTTGTTTGAATTCTGAAACCAAAGAGTTTTCCTACAAAGAAATGTTTTTGCATGTTTTTGCGGCAATTGACGCATCCCTATTTTTTTTATTCGCCTATGTTATTATCCCCTCGCAGTAGAATTCTTCCAGTCTGCCACGCACTCCTGAGGTCAACGCAAGGTTTTCCACCGTGTCTGTCTGACAGTTTTTCAATTTTCCGTTCCCTGTGCCCCGTGCTTTGTGGAGATCTAAGCGCGTTTCATGTGCACATTCACCAGAGACCTGCAACAGATCTGAGGTGACAAGAGCCTCTATTCCCTGAACGGTTGTCTAAAATTAGTATCAAGTTACTTTAGGAATCGTTAAGATCTGATATATATAACAATGAACGAGATACATATATATATATACATACACATGTTTGTGCCTCATTTCCTGTTTTGTTGATTGAAGCAGGTCTTTGTAGTTCCATTGAAGCCCGCTGGCCGCTGGCCTGCGCAAATTGCTCTGGCTTTTTGTGGATCGCGACGTTTTTTGGTCCTTTGATCTGATCTTCCTGAAGCTTTGCGGTTCCAGTCGGCGTTTTCCATTTGTCAGCAGAGAGCACAGAAAGCACTGTTTCCCTTCTGAAAGTCTGGCATTGTCTTGTTCAGGCTGGACATATAATATGGAGCTTTTCCCGAATGCTCCTTAACAAGTCACATTTCTACATTGGATGTATCACATAGTCCTGTTGGTGTAATCCCCTTTTGTGGAGGAAAGATAGCAGCACTTCTGTGGCATCCTGCTGGCATGCTCCGCGCGCAATGGGGTGAAAAACACCTGGCCAAGCCCAAAAAAATGATTCTTGCTCATAGTGCGGACCGATCCTGCAAGTGCATACTGAATGTGGCTGAGGCGAGGTGTTTTTTTCGGAAATACCAGCTGACTATGTCCAAACTGCAATATGTCCAAACTGCACCTCACCATGAAACTAACATCGATGTGGACTCCTTCGATGAAGCATTTTGTACTGCAGACTCTTTTTTAAAGCAGTACCAGGGCTGCAAGCTTCACGGCTCTGCTCCCAGAAAAGAGATGCTGTTTGGCTCAAAATGATTGGAGACCACCGGAAAAGTCCATCTTAAATTCCCAACACAAGCTGCCCATGTTGCCATCCCTTGCTGACCATTGCTCTTCTAAAAGGGTTGTAAGGCTTGTTTCGCCCGTGTTTAGAATCTCATAGAATCTCCCTGCTCTCTGCCTTTCAGCCTTTCATTTGCCACAGAATGCTGCGACATTTCCCATATGGCCCTTGCGATGGTGGCAGCTCCAGGCTTTTCAGCAAGGTGGACTTGGGACTTGGGGATGACATGCAGCTGCTGTAGCTTTTCGGATCAACGGTCCAGGACTTCTTGCCCTGGAAGGCGGCTTGGTGCCCAACTCTCCCGGAGCAAGGTCCAACACCCACTGGAAAGCGCACCGGGACACACTGAAAAGATCTGAAAAGGTTAGTAAAATTATATGGTATGATTATGTATGATTATGTATGGTTATGTATGGTTCTGTATGGTTAGTGATAGCTGCAGCTTGAAGATTCGGAAGATTTCATTGCCAGAGATGTTCCTCTCCAAGTGGCCTTTGGTGCCGAAAAGTGCAGGCTTCTCTAGCGGTTCCAAAGCCTTCTGCAGTGCATGTGACTGCAGCTCATCGAAAGGCCCTGCGAATTTGGAGGTTTTGGCACAGTTTGGACCTTGATTGAAAATAAGAGATGTTGAGATGTGTTGAATATTTTTGAGCTGTGAAGGCCTACCAAGAAAATGGCGTCGTCCACATTCCTGGTGCCTTTGGTCTAGGGCCCAGTGACTTTCAGTGACCACTGGTGACCAGTGGTGACCTTCATGGCTCAGGTGAGGATTGGGTGCACTACATGCGGGATGCGTTTCAGCAAGGTATGGATAAGCCAGGCGAGCTGTTGGTGAGTACTGACTTGGACAATGGAAAGCTCTGCATTTGTGCTTTCAAATCTTCTTCCATGTTCTTCCGAAGTTCTTCCCCTTAAGTTTGATATTTGCGACATGCATATTCACATTATTTTGGCTTAAGATCTTGGCAAAAACAGTATGACGGAGTCGGAGTTTGCCAAACCATGCGGTGCCTCCCTTGCCAAGGAAGTCGATCACGGAGCAGAGTGTAAATCTACAAGACGGTGAGCGAACAACACGTGTCAGCGCAACTGGGGGTCCTGGACTGAAGATGTTTGTCGTTGAGATGTCCGAAAGATATGATCACGATGCGTTTGCGCAGTTTGCTGACAACACAGTGAAAGCCTTGTGGCTCATTATGCAGACACATCCCAGTAATCCATAATATACATTTTTTGTGTTCCGGCCACCGGCAACGGCCCCGGCAACCGGCAACCGGCCGGCAGCCGGCACTTGGCAGCCGCAAACTAGCAGCGGGCCATCGGCATCGGCCAGGCATTGTTTCGATTATTCTTCGCGCTACACATTTTCACGTTTCGATTATTATCCTTCTGTTCCACATTGTATCGCTGCGCAAGGTGCGACCTCGCCCGTGACACTTGCAAAACATTGCGCCGCCGTAGACCCCCAAACAGTGGGTGGATTTAAGAAATCTTTTCAGGAACAAGATCCAACACATGAGAAAGCACTAAGAACCCCTAACCTTACACTGCTTGGGGGACAATGCAAAATGAAACCACCCGCCACAAAGGGAAACAAGAAGAGAGACAAGCTGGGAGACAAGACGGAAGACAAGCTGGGAGACAAAGGGAGAGACAAAAGGAGACAAGACCTCAGGAAGGCGGAGACACCATACAACAAAGGGAAGCAAGAAGGGGTGCAATGGGAGACAAAGGGAGACAAGACCCTCGGGAAGGTGGATGCGCCATCCGAAAAAGGGAAACAAGAAGAGGTACAATGGGAAACAAGGGGAGAGAAGGTCTCCGGAAGGCGGACACACTATTGAAGGCAGAGATACCATCCAACACAGGAACGCGCAACATGGCACGTCTAAAGTGTTGCACCTGCCACGCGAAATGACGTGGAGCTCCCCAAAGTGCAGCCCCTGCCACGAAAAATGCAGCTCATCGTGTCAAACTGTCGCGCAATTATTGCGCCTGCCACACAAAACGAATTTTGACACGTTATGACACATGTTGGAACGTCACAAAGTGCCACGCCTGCCACGCGAAACGAGGCTATTAAAACTTCCAAAAGTGACCCGTTGCAGAACTTGCCATGGGCACGGCCATATGGACCTCGCGCGGACGGTATGCGAACGGTTGCGGAAGTATTGCGCCCGCCACACAAACCGACTTTTGACACGTTATGAAGCATGATGTTGGAATGTCACAGAGTGCCACGCCTGCCACGCGAAACGAGGCTACGCAACGATTGAAACCTCCAAAAGTGACCCCTTTTGCAGAACTCGCCATAGGCATGACACGGCCATACGGGCCTCGCGCGGACGGTATGCGAACGGTATGCGAACGGTTGCGAAGGGTTGCGGACACTTGCGGACGTAAAAGCAACGTCGAGCGAACATACCCTCAACCCCCAGACCCCCAGAGTGAAACGGGAACCCTTGCTACGCATTCGGCAAAAGCCCTCTGTCAACAACACGCAGCTGTGCGAGACGCCAGATTAGCACCGCAGTACGCTGAGATTGAGACACGGCTCCTGCGTGCCCTACTTTGCCAGATGATGTGCAATTTTTGGAAGTGAAGATGCAAGGCTACAGGGGTTGGAACACCGTACCCAGTATTTCGCCCGCAAGGCTCACGAACGCATCACGCTGCGTCGCCTTCGGGCGCAGGCACACAGGGGACAAAGAGTCAACTCTGCTCAACCTCAAGGAACAAGAAGTTTTCTATCTTCGTGGAGCTCCGTCAGACCTCGGCAACCCTCCGATTGCACGACCCACAAAGAGGCTGAGGCAGATGTTGCCGCTGCAGCAAGAACCGCTGGCTTCCTATTCGCCATCTCAAGCAGTGGATTGGTTGCGCATGCGGTGCCGAGAGCTTGTCTCAACGTTATCCGTTTCTCCTCCATTTCCTTCAGCATTATCCAGATTTGAAAACGGTAGTCCATGATGATTCTTGCCATTTACGTGTCATGGCACAGTCGCAGAAGCAGGGATCCGCTCTCGCGCAGCGCGCCTCTCACCTCAATTTCATCGTGGATTCCTTCCATTCATCTGGCCATGTTGGCGTGTGGTGTCGTGCGAATCTCATGCCGACTCTGCCCGCAAATAAGCAATACTTGATGGCTTCCCAACATCTATCGCCGAGGTCGTCGTCAACGCCTCCTTTTCTCCACTCAAGCATGCCATCGATCATATGGGTCCCTGGATGGCGAAGCTCATGGTTGCAGAGCTGGTGGACATTCACAACTTGAAAGTGCTGCTGGCTGTCAAGGCACCAAAGAACTTTAAGGGTTGCATGTTCGGACATCTTTACATTTCTTTGCACGTTCTATTTTTAGAAACTGTGACCCCTATGTAATGGCGCCAAGACCCAACTCTGGGCGGGCCGGCCCACGCCGCTGATGGCCATTATTTTGCAGGTCGCATCTGCGCAGAAAGGGAAAAGTAGATTGACAAGCTTGGTGGAAGAGGCTGGTGTAATGTTTGGGGGATTTTCAGCCCACACCGAAAAATATCAAGCCTCAAGCATAATTCTTCGCCCTGGCTTACGATCGCTTCCCGTGCAGGCCTTCGACACCTGCGACGATTACCTTGTCAAGAAGCCAAGGAAATGGTCGTCGACTATCCGGGCGCCGCCTCTGTCATGAAAACGCTCTCGATTCTGTCCTTCACCTTCACGGAGTTTTTCCACCGATGCTCCAGCGAGTGGCAACAAGTGGATTGGAACACAGGCATCGCGTGTTTCTTACACATAATTTATACGCTTCAACGCCAATGAAACGCATCAGGAATCGTTTATCACATTCCATCCAAAGTATCGTGTGTATTCCACATTCACCTCATTCAATGCATTTATTCTGCATCGTGAAGGAGATGAGAGCAATGGACTTCCTCATCGCATCTGGCTCTGGAGGAGAAAGATGGCAAGGGCTGGACCGCGCTGTACACCACAGCACTTGGTGGCCATGCGACCGTCGTCAAAGGCTTCGATGCCGGCCCCTGAATGCAGTGGAATTTGGCGGTTCCAGGTCGAGTCTGCCGACGGCTTGTGAATCTTGGGCCAAAGAGATCCTTAACGGCCTTGACGCGGCAGGTTCGGATCAAAAGCGGATATTGTACCTGGATAGCAGGCAGACAAAAAACATTGTGGGGCTATGTTGGCTAAGTTGCATACTATAATGTAGGCTGCCTAATAGCAACCCCCCCTAAATAAAATAATTATTTAAAAAAAATTAGGGGGGGTTCAGCATTCCAATAGTAATTTTTTGGAACCTTATAGCTGGGATCATGGAAGTGGGGGCAGAGGTGGTGGAGGCGAAGGAGGAGGACGAGGAGGAGGAGGAGAAGAAGGAGAAGAAGGAGAAGGAGAAGGAGAAGGAGAAGGAGAAGGAGAAGGAGAAGGAGAAGGAGAAGGAGGACAACAAAATTGGAGTTGCGGAAAAAAGTTTCCACTATTGCCATGCCTGGTGCAGGTTTGTTCTTGCTATTCTGGGGCTTGCAAAGGGGGTACCCTTTGTGGACCTGTTTTCTTGCTTTTTTAATAAGGGTTTTATAAGGAAATCAGCTGTTTGGTAATTGGATCAGATTTCTGGAATCTAAGCGTTTGCCAATCAAAAGTGAAGGCTGCTTTGAAAAGGATTTGCTTTACTTGACTCTTTTGGCAACACTAAAAGTAAATGGAGCTAATTGACTTTTAGTATTGGAGAAAAAGTTGGAGTTGGGAAAAACGTTTCCACTATTGCCATGTTGGGTCCACTATTGGCCATGCCCTCTGGACAAGGTCTGAACATGACTCTTTTGGCAATACTAAAAGTAAATGGAGCTAATTGACTTTTAGTATTGGGGACAAATTGGAGTTGCGGAAAAATGTTTCTACTATTGACAAGATATCACTATTGGCTAGACAACATTATTGAAGCACCCGACAGCATGTGGTATTAGTCCAAGGAGTCATTGAATCCAATCAGCATGTGGTTGGATTGTCAGGCAAATATGCAGAGTTCATTGGCAAAGATACGACATGGGATACGCTATTTGGTGCTCGAGCGTGTCTCGCCCTTTTGAGTCTGAGAATGATTTCAGGTTGCCTGTGAACCAACTTGAAGACATCTGACTCATGACATCTCATGACTAAGGAAGGATATCGAGATGTTTCAAGACCAGGTCAGATTCTTGGGGTTTCAAGGTTGGAGTTCCAACCTCAAAATTCAACAGGATCCGAGTTGGTATATACATGCTGGGGCTTTAGACCAAAGACCAAAAGGCAACTCCAGTTTTGTTTGTCCAAAACTGTGAGGTTTTCTACCAACAAGCAGCGGAACGTGTTCCTGCATCTCGATCCAGAAACACAATTTGTTTCTCTTTTTGTTTCACAGAATTGCCATCACAGGTCAGCTGCGCGAACTTCCAGATGATACATTTTCAAGGTCAATGCATACCTTGGTTTCCAAAAAGAAGGCACAGTTGAACAAGGGAGATCTAGATTCTAGACATTGATGGATCAGAAATAATGTTGCTTGTGATTGACAGGTTGCCATTTTTTTATGCGTGTCCTTTTTTCCAGTGTTGCTTTGAGACCTAGGCTTGGTTACCAGTTTTCCATTCCCACGCGGCACATTTGATTGCCCAACTCATGGGCTCTGCCAGGTGCTCTGTTTAATTGGTTTCACAATTGCTTCGTGTTCCTGATACATTTTCCACATTGAAACTGGTGGGAGCGCCATTTGTTCTGCTGAACTTTTCTTCTGGCGCCAAGTCTGTCTGCAAAGGCCAGAATCTCGTTCTTCTACCTGCATGCGATTCTAAAACAGGGAGGCACAGAGCAGGCCAGTGCCAAAAACCGTGCACAAAGATTTCCTGTACTGCCTCTACCTATTCCCAAGTACATCCCAAAGAGTTAGCAAAAAAAAGGAGCAGGCTGAAGGATGATGAAATGATTGCAGTTTCAAGTTGACATGTTACACACTCATCCGGAGGCAATCCCTTGGCATCAGGACTTGCCATATTGGAAGGCCGAGTTTATGAAACCAAGATCCTGAGGAAGACTTGGCAATGGCTCTAGGTCTTCTGACTCTTGTAATTCTTCATGTTTTCAAGCCAAGCAAAGCAGGTGGATGGAAAACAGATCGGTTCCGCTTGAAACTTAGCTTATGTCAGTGCCTCACGTGCAGTGCAGCATGACCTTGGCTCTCCGCACCAAAACCTTTCTTTTAAGCGACTGCCTCAAGAAGCTCGTCCAAACTGTTTCATTAGATCACAGTGAAGCAGCTTCAAGGTGTGGATAGCTCTGGATGATATGCCTTTGGCTGCAAGCGTTCGCTATGTGCAGGGATCCCACGTGGGCAACTGAGCCAAAAAAGACTTGATGGAGTGGATCGTTTGGGCACAGTCTAGAAGCAATGCAATTTTCGTGCAAGGAATGCCGGTAGCATGATTTTTGCAACATAGTATTCAGTAGATCTGTTTCCACAGCATGAGCCGACAAATCAGATCAAATCAGCATCAGGCTTGGGGGTTGTTTCGTCCCCAGCACTTTGTGGACCACTCCTCATACGAAGGCTGGGTACGAGACCCGAATTGCTGCCTCCCTTACTGCCCAAGATCTCCCAAGATGCTGGAGGAAGGCTTCTCCTCAGTCTCCACGCGCCGAAGGTCGAGAGGACTTGCCGTTGCTGCCCGACGTGGACGCCATGTTGCGGCAAGGCTGGGAGTCAAAGCAGATAGTGAGCATGACACTTTGTTCAACTGTTGAATGACATCCATACAGCAAGCAGCAAGCGTGCCACCACCAAGTGCCAGTGCTGGGCCAAGGCCAAGCCAAGGCATTGGCTTTTGAGGTCAAGGCAGGTGACACCCTTTGCTTCGATGCTCGCCAGCTGCCCAGTCAGCAACGGACACACAAACCAGTGATACCAGATCTGTTTCATGTAGTCAATGTAGTCTTCAAAATCGAATTTGCAGCGGACCCCTGTCTAGCCCAGTACTTCCAGGAGTAAGTGAGACCCGGAAAAGTGATGGAAAAGCAAACGACATTTGCGGCAAATTTGGTGCCAAGGTATTGTGCACGGCTCTTTGGGAAATCCAGAGGCAAGCGGAGACGGTTGGAGATGCGTTGTCAGCGTCAAGGGCTAGCTCTGCCGGTGCACAGGCCAGGCACGAACACCGCCGCGTGGCGCTGCGCTTTGGTGGTGATGCCGGCATCACAGATGTGGAAGTGTGGCGAACGTTTTGCGAAGCGTGCCAGCTGTACTTTGGACACTTTGTGAGCTTCTGTGATCTTCCAGATGTTTGCCTGATATGCTTTTTGCAGCTGGAATATCGTTTTGAGGAAGCCATTCACATTCACAAGCTCTGTTCACCTCCTCAGGATGCAGTCTATTGCAACCGTGGAGGGGAAACAGCGATTCCTACGTCAGCCCAGCTCGCTTGATGGCACTTTCTATCAGTGACGGATGGCGGGATGACAACTCAAGAGACAAGGCTATGTGTGGGACGAGTCCAGAATGGATTGGGGCTCTCAGCTCTTGCGCTGTTCAGACATATGTTGGAAAGAGCTCCCAGGCCCACCAAAAAGGTAGCACACCAGGCCAATACTTCGAATCACCTACATGGATACACATCAACTCATGCTATGCATTCCTACGGAATAGACATTTTGCAGTCCTGGAAGTTGAGCTGGGTCATGTCAGGCCAGAAATCGATGCAGTCCATGGTCTTCGCCACGGAGATACGCTGAACTGCAAGGCCTTGGCGACCTTGAGGGCCTTGCCACAATGATTCATGATGATTTCATCTTATTTTTAATATATAGTTGTATAATTATATATCTACTTTCTGTGCAGTTTCGTGCTCAAGTTTGAGCTGCTAGGCGTTTCCCCAAGTGTGGCCATGAAGAACAGATCTCACCTTAGCACCGTTTTGGTGGTTGACCTGAAGCATGATGCAATGCTAATTCTTATGAACACAGCAGAAAAATACAGCATCGGGCTTGCAGATATTGACAGAGACTGACCGCCCGGATAAGCATAAACTCTTGAGTGCTTGACCCGGGAGTGGGTGAAGGGGGACATCTTCAAGTAGAAAAGTCATTGAGGCAGACTGTACTCATGGATGCACGTTCTCCATCGACGGGATTTTAAGAATGAAAGCTAAACAAAGGAAGCCAATGCTAGTCTATCTGATCACAATCCAACTCCAGCGTCTGCCAAGCTGAGGCTTGTATCCGAACATATCCGAACTATTTTACCAGCTTCAAAGCGAAACCCAGACCACCCAACAATTGCCCCATACTACTAAGGCTGCCTTGGCCCGGCCAAAGATTCGTTCGCTGCGTGCGACTCGTGCGACGCATTAGAAAAAAGATTTGAAAAGCGCAGTGATGGGAGTGGCACCGAAGAATCCGTCTGATAGTTGTGTGAATCCGTCAGCAATCACAGGGCCATAGAGTTTGTAAAAGTGCCATTGTCACTGCTACTGACCGCACCGAACATATTAATCATATTATGGACCATGCAAGACCCCTTTCTTTGACCTTACATTGCAGTCAGGCCTTGCAAGTTTTCCAGGTGCCAGCTTTGTTCACAGGTGCTTCTGAAGCAACGCAGGGTGCAAAGGCATGGCCTGGCACCAGCCACTGAAAGAAATCGAGGAGAAATGAAGCTGTGCCGTTTGGAGTTGAAATGAGGATATCTGAAAATGGAGCCACTTTCACGTCCTTGCCGAATGGTTTAGGGAAACTTGATGGGTCCAGAGGTCCATAGGTCCATAGGTCCATAGGTCCATAGGTCCAAAAAATCAAGACAACCTCACCACAAGTCTTACTCTCTCATGCCGAAACAAGCTTACCAACAACCAGTAACAACTACAATCCTGTAGCGTTTGGTTCAAGTCCAGCACCCAACACATTTCCGAAAAAGCTGCGTCTTTACCATGTCTGACGCGCCAGCGGTGCCTTTCTATGTCAAGGCCATGGCCGCTGTAGGCCGCATGGCCAAACATGTCACCGCAGAGCCCTGGCCAGCTCCGAAGAGGGACAATCGTAACCCAGCCATGACCGGTGAACAGGACGATGGATCCAAGGCTGTTGTGGAGGCTGAAGGGATCAAAGGTGGTGGCCAGCGGGCACTTTTGGCCAGTCGACCAACGGGTGAGATCAAGGACTCCGACTTCAAAATCGTAGAGGAAGAGTGCCCAGAGCTGGGTCCTGGTGAAGTGCTCATCAAAAATATCTATATCTCTCTGGATCCAACTCATCGCCTCTGGGCCAGTGACCAACCGCAGTACATGGCATGTGTGGGGATTAACAACTGCATGCGAGCCAGCATTGTCGGCAAAGTTATGAAGTCCAATTCTCGCAAATGGAAGGAAGGCACCATTTGTGGAGGCATGGGAGGAGTGCAAGAGTATTTTGTGGCCAAGGAGGCATCGATCTATCCGGTGATTCCGGGAGTGCCGCTGCCACTGAACCTTTCCCTCTTCAACGTGGTGATCGGTCTGACTGCCTGGGTCGGGGTGAACATCTGTGAACCCAAGGCAGGTCAGACCATTGTGGTGTCCGGCGCTGCTGGAGCTGTTGGATCAGTAGCTGCGCAGTTGGCAAAGGCCCGAGGGATGAAGGTGGTGGGACTGGCAGGCAGTGAAAGCAAGTGCACCTGGCTGAAGGATGAGTTGAAATTGGATGGTGTGATCAACTACAAGACTGAAGAATTGGATGTTGGCTTGGCGCGTTGCTGCCCTGACGGTGTGGATGCATACTTTGACAATGTGGGTGGCAAGACGCTGGAAACCATGCTCACCAAGATGAATCGATTTGGAAGAATTGCTTACTGTGGTCACATCTCAGGCTACAACTCTGAGAGTGCTGCTGTCTCAGTGAACCAGTTCCAGATGATTTTGATGCGCCGCTTGAAGATCCAAGGCTTCATTTGTGTGGACCACATGGACGAAATGGTGAAGTGCTTTGCCGAGTTGCTGGACTTGTATGTGCGGGGCAAGATGAAGGTGCAGGAAGACATTCAGGAGACAAAGGTTTCCAACTATGTTCAGTGTGTGAATATGCTCTACACGGGCAAAAACAGCGGCAAACTCATGATGAAGGTGAGTGAGGAATGAGCCCTTGATGAAGATGGGTGGGGAAAGATCCTTTTGTGAAGACATTGGGTGCTCCGCCCTATTGATTTATCCTGGACGTCGCCCAATTGTGCGTCCCCTTTTGCAATATCCACAGAAACACAGCGCGTTGGCGTTGAGCTACAGATCTCTGCAAAAAATGAGGCAGCTGCTGGAGTCTTTCTTTGCGAGTTGGAATTTGGATTGCTACTGCCAGCTTTTGAGTTTGTTGCATGCCCACACGTCCAGGAATCGACCCAAAGCGACTGCTGAGCACCATGCACAAGGTGCAGCCCCGAGTTGTCTACTTGTTTATTCTCGTGCAGAGCACAAAGAAAGGGTACGAAAGGGTCACAGCAGTGTTTAACTTAGCTTCCACAGCTTTGAGATCTCACATGTATAATTGAGCCAACACAACTGCAGGTTGGCATAGGATCTCCAGATCCACAACTCCCAGTGCCATGGCTTTCAGTGGATCTGCGGTCCAGTTTCTGTTGAGAAATTGGAATGCCACTTGCTGCCTTGTTTTGGCACAGCAAACATCCAGCTGCCTTTGAGCCAAGAGATGCCGAGTATGGGTTTAGCATTTGACACAAACACTGCAATTGCATCTCTCAAATACCATCATTTCACAGTCACATTGACATGTCTTTGCACACGCATTTGGCTGATTTGCAAAAGTTCGGATGGGTGATGACGTTGATGATGCCGCGAGCATCCTGAAGGTATGTTATCTTTGCATATCTTTGCCAAAAGCTTAGGCGCCTTCGGACAGTATCCGGGCAAACAGCAAGGACGCTGCAATGTCAAAGCCTCGATCCATCAGTAGGCTCTGGTGGTGTTCGATCTTCACCACAGTGCTAAGGATGCTTCTGGAGAAGCGCCAGCGGTCAATTGAAAAGGTGCCTGCCCCCTTGCCAGCGGTGCTTGATGTAGTTGGGCACACTTTCTCAACTTGAGAATTCAGTGGTAATTTGGGTATTGTGGATGCAGATTGTAGCAGTCATGAAGTGGCACGAGGCTTCCGTACTGATGCATATTGCCAGCCGTGCAGAATGGTTGAAAGCCTCGCTACACCTGATGGTTTGGATAAATGTCACGCAGCCCCTCTCAGATGTAGACAGTGCTGGTGACAGCATGCTTAGTAATCTTTCTATAGTTGGTAAGTACAGCAGAGAGCTGAGAAACCAGCCGCCAATCGCCCCTTTGCAGCTGCTTTTTGTTCAATCGCAACATGCGCAAACAGATGAATTACTTAGAGACAGAACATGTGGGAGGATCCTTGATTTCAGAAGCTTGTGGGCTTTCCCAGTATTGATTGATCGGTAGCATCCATTGGCCCTAAGCTGAAACTGATACTCTCACATGCCATCACCATATTTGCAGCCGTGTAGCACGGAGGGAGATTGATCTCTACAGTTATCACTGAGCATGACGCTGCCTAAATTGGGAGGTTCAAAAAGGCCATTGTTGTCGGGTTGTGTCCGAAGCACCATCCCCACTGAAGAGTTCTGCAGATTTGCAGAGGCACTGGGAGGTGGGGAGGTGGAAGTTGATTGCACAACAACTTCTGGTCTGTTGTCAGTTTTCTTCTTGGGAAACATGCGAAAAATAGCAACACCAAGTGATTTTTATATGGTTTTAGTATTTTTATGTTGTACGATTATTCAGATGAATTATGGACGTTGCTTTATTTTTGTGCCACCGTTCGGGAGACGTTTCGCTTCCGCTCCAGGCTGTGGCGCCATGGACGTCCTTGATGACTCGCTGGGGCTTCTCACATCTTCACTCACACCTGTGCTGTCCCTTGTGCTGCCGTGGCACCATGAGGCCAAAGATCTCATGTCGGTAAGTGGGACACGGTCAGACACGGCTCGGATGTTGAGCTCGATCTGCCAGGCACCCTTGACTAGCGAGTTGCCAGGAGGCGGCTTCTGGAGAGTGTTAGAGTCAAAGTCTCTTAGAGGTGCCGAATTGGCCTCCGCGAAGTTGAGTTGTCTTTAACTTGCCGGAACTGCTTTTGGAATCCAGAAACATGGCGCCGCAACTTGTTTTGCTACAATGATACTCTGCCGGACATTTGTATGAGAATGGCTCAGAACGACCCCTCAGTTAAGGTGGCGACACCATTCTATCTGGTTGGAATACACCAGAGTTTACGCTGGCAAAAAATATATACCAGGATACGGCGGATGTGGAGTTTTTGGGACTTTGCCTGATTGCAGGCGGTGGAATGTCGCTTCCCAAGGGTGTGACAACTAGTGAGGCTGCCATTGTCTCGATCCTAGTGACCTGCCATAAGGAGAGTGAATGGGGAGACAGGAATCACACCTCTTATGTTTCTAACGTTTTTTCCAGAGCAATCTTTATTGTACTGCAGGGGAAATGTCTTATGGCTGATTCGTTGACGGCAGTTTAATAGAAGGTGCATCATTCCCAAGAGATATCTAAAGCAATTTGGGTTTGAAGGACGCATTTTCATGCTGGGATTTGCTGAGCAGCTTAGTGCCAAGGTGATTGCTCTCATATCTGGGGCCTCTATACTCTTCGGAGCATATCTGGCTCGCCTGAACACACCTACTGGACACTCGAAGCAATTGCTTGCAATCCTCTAAGATGTTTACTTGAATGTTCATCTACCATTTAAAAGCAATGTAGGCCTTCAAGGCTACCTGGGACTTCTGCGTAAGAATACCATCTTGTCGTCTGAAGGTCCATTTCAAGCTGTGAATCTTTCTGACTGACTTCTTGACGTTTGTCAAGGCAAAATCATGAAGCTAGCGGCGGGGGAGGCGAAAATCCTGATTCCGGCGACCTTCTGCCTCTACCTGAATAGCAGCTTGGACAGCCCGGAGATGGGGTTGCACTTCCAGCAAAACAAAATGTCTTGTAATTGCAGCTTTTCCATGTTTCCTCAGGTGGCTTGTTCATTCTTCTGCCATACTTTGGCGGGCAATTCGTGCAAATGGTTGGAAGCGACAAGGGTGTCAGCGGCAGCGCCCTGAACGAGGCGGATGGAAACGGATGGAAGCGGATCGTCACTATCAGCATAATTAGTAAGTAAAGCTACGAGACATCTTCACAATTAATTCCTTTGAAGGCACTGCAGAGCATGGAATAATTTCCGGGAATATCCAGCTGAAAGATCCTGAAAGTCTCTCATTTGTGCTTCCTTCAGACGTTGCTGTGCTGTAGCTGATTTCTTAGGCAGACTGGTTTTCGTCAAAACTTTGTCTCGAAGAGTATTTTTGCTGTTGGCCAACTCCTTTCACTCTCGCCGGCAGATCACGGAGAAGATTGTTGTCGTGGCTATTGCATCTTCTCTCACTTCGATGATTCGAGGCACTACATGAGAATGGGCGATGCGCATTCCAGGTTTCCATGAAATCATATCATATCCCCACATCCCAATTTTTTGTCAGTTTGCTATTGGTTTCACTTCAAGTTCCTCCTGACAAGTGACCAACATTGGCATTTTATGGCATTTTTCGAATTTTACGTCCCAACATGGGAACGTTGCTCCAGCTTTGACTAAGCAAGGCATGCTGTACGTCCTGGCCGGTGAACGCATTGTCCGCGAACTCCGCAAGGAGGTTTTCCAGGCCTTGCTAAGGCAAGAGGTCGCTTACTTCGATGTGCAGACCACCGGAGCGCCGTGGCTAAATTCAAAGCGCTGCGGAGGAATGTCTCCGGTTTAGATTCAGGATAAGTTCGATGTGATTTATCCGTATTGATCTAAGAATCGGCAATTCCAGTGATGTGATGCGAACGATTCCATAAGTGATCATTGACGAACCGTTGCCACCGTTGCCACCGTTGCTACCGTTGCAATGGAAAGCTTCCAGGCCTTGGTCTCCAGGCTCACCAACGACACACAGACATTGCAGAATGCGGTGACCTGGTCGACCTGGGTGGACTGTACTCAATTCTTTCTCCGAGTGCAGGGATAAATAACTTTTGGTGATGGTATGTTATAGTTATATGCCTTACACGTGAGATAGGGTTTGTCGGAGGGTTGATTTGTTTTGCTTTCCTATCTCTTGAGTAAAGTATTGTTTTTGCCCTTTGGGCCCTTTGGGGGTGCCAAACTCCTATCTCATGAGGTTCTATTAACGACTTGAAGGACACCTGCATCAAGATTTTACATTCCCACTGTTCATGGTTTGTAAATGCTATAGGCTAGGGCGGCTAGGCTTTGGACACATGAGATAGGGGTTAGGGCTGATTTGGGATATGCTCAGATAACACATGTGTTGGGACTGTAGCGTGTAGTGTGTATGCCAGGAATGAGAAAAACAACATTATCTTTTGCTTTGTTGTTCAATAAAAATGTGGGTTTCGGCCCAAAACATGTCAATGGCACATGGGCGCAACAAGGGGAACCGATGCGCTCGTGAACTCACGTGAGATATTTTTTTTGGGTTTTGGCCCAGGAAATCTAAATGGCTCATGGGCGCAGCAACGGAAAAAGATGGGCCACTGAAAGCACGTGAGATAGGATTTTCGCATTTTTGACCTGGAAAATCTAAAGGGATAGGGGCAGCAAGGAAAAGAGATGGGCCACTGAAAGCATTTTTATATAGATAGGACTTTTGCATTGTTGACCTAGAAAATTGAAAGGCATAGCGGCAACAAGGGAAAAAGATGGGCCACTGAAAGCATGTGAGATAGGACTTTTGGGGTCTTGACCCAGAAAATCTACAAGGCACATGGGAGCAACAAGGGGAAAAACTATGCCACTGAGCGCATGTGAGATAGGACATTGGGGTTTTGACCGACAAAATCTAAATTGCGGGTTTAAAACCATTAGCAATTCCTATCTGCCTTTGCTGGTGTCACAAAACATGAGGTCTTGATCATTTGTCAAGGTGTCTGCTTAGACCTGCATTCGGGTCTCAGAGTGGGTCCAGCACACATGAGTTGGGAGGTTCGGACAAAACCAACGAAATGAAACTCCTAATTCATGTGGCTACTCCAACCAACGCTAAATGAATGCTTCAAACAGTGGACACATGAGATGGGACTGGTCCCTGAGAAAGCTGCCATCTCATTTGGACATGCCAGCAAGATCTGTCGAGTATAAACACAGGTAACACTTGTCTGTCCAATGGATCCAAGCCAGCTCTAAGCTTGTTTTGTGTTCATTTGCTGAGGCCAGCTCCAACATTTCGATTTTCCTTCGTTGCACAGCCAGCCTTCTGCTGTCCTTGATCGTGATGTTTGCTCTTAGGTTTGCATTTATATACTCAAACTAGCAGTATCTATGGAAGTGAGTTGGAAAGTGCAGTGGAATGGACGAGGAAGAGCTAGACATGGACAATAAAGTGTGCTTTACGCGCTGAGTCTGATTGACTTGGAGAAATATTGTGACAGCAGCGGCCGTTCCTGGGCACTTCATGCATTGAGGTCACTTCTTGGAAGTTAACCTTGGCAATGTTGGCCACTGTTCCTGTTGTTTCTTGGCTATGGCTGGCTTGCTTGAAGACCCCTCCGTTGCTTACATCAGTGATATGTATGGATTTACGGTAAGGCACTGAATTTGTCAGTCTGTGACCTGCCCTACAGAGGCTTTTCATGATTCACTTGTCACTCCCTCTCTCTTTTCTCTCTGGAGCAAGCCTGCAGACTTACAAAACATCAAAAGACTATTATTATGACTATTATTGCTACTACTATTATTAATCATTGTCACACACTAATTAATGTATACATACATACACACATATATATATATACATATATATACATAAACACACATATATATATACATAAACATATATATATAATCCCATCTATTTGTAACTGGCCCCTTTCCAACATGCATGTGCCCCTTGACAGCTCTTGCACAGAGACGTTCCTTTTTGCTCAACATAGCATCACATCGTTCGATGTCTTCGCAACCCTGCCGGGGGTCTCAGCCTTTCCAGCTGTGGTCACCTTTTCAAAGCTTTAAATGCCCAGTGAGTAGTGGAGGATAGTTGTTTCTTTAGTGGGTAGTTAATTGTTAGGCAAGTGTTTTAAACCCAAAGCTTTTCAAGCTGATTGACCCCATTGCATCTAGGCTGGCTCACATCACCCCAAACTCAACCAAATACTTTCTCACAGTCGGATGATCACGTGGACCATGCTCAATAATCCACCTAAGATGGCTTCTGGCCAAGGTTCCAGTAACAGGATGGTTTCCGGCAAAGGTTCCAGTAACAGGATGGTTTCCGGCAAAGGTTCCAATGACAGGAAGTTTTCAACAAATAACCACAACATCAAAAGTATGGGTTCAATGTTTGTCCCCAGGCACTTACGCCGGGAGTCCATACCAGCAACTTTCGCCTCTGGCGGTGACAAACCCTCATTCTTTGCTGCCAACCACCCAGCACAGTATACCTTGGAGCACAGAGAGAAACAATTGACAGAAATAAAACTTTGGGACACTCACACTTCAACACATAATTTACCTGAGCACATATCCAAATTGAAAAAAACATACTCTGTAGGAAGCTGGGCTACACAGTGCAACTTACGTTTGACCCAGTCATCATGTTTCTTGCTCTGTTTGCGGGAGGCACCACGGGCAGTTGTTTTCGATTTGGCTTTCGCCTTCGGTTTGCAAGCTGCTTTGGAGGGCTTCTTTGCATTGTTCTTTGCATTGTTCTTTGCACTGTTCTTTGCACTGTCCATTGCACTGTTCTTTGTTGTGCTCTTTGCATTGTCCTGTGTGCCTTTCTTCTTGCTCGTTGCATCCTTGTGTGCTGCTTGCTTTGGCTTGGCCACTGGTTTTGATTTGCGCTCTGGCTTCAGCTTCTCCTTGGGCACCCTTGCACGTTTCTTTGCACTAGGTCGCAAGAGGTTCTCGGTGGGAGGTGTGACATCACCAGGTCTCCCAGTGTCATCAACAGGTCCCCCAGTCATTGGTTCTTCATCCATGGGAGGTGTATCATGACAAGGACCCTCAGTCATTGGGTTTTCATCACCCAGTGTGTCATCACCAAGTTCCCCAGGCGATGCTTCAACTGTCATAACATCACCACCATCAAACTCACCCTTATCCTCAGACATCATGTCATAATCCAAGGATTCATGAGGAGGTGAAGGATGCAGCGTCTCATCATTGTTCCCGGACATATCCTGTGTAGTGAAAAACAGTCACCTTTAAAACTGTGCTGCTGCTGTGTGTCAAGGTATACAGTAAGACCTTTCAATCAAAATTTAAGCCCAGACTAGTCCTTGAAAAGCTCACGTGGCTCAAGATCAGTCGAGAAGAACTGTGCATCAAGTCGACGAAGGTTCTTGGGTTCAGTGGTGTCCTCAATGTTGCAGTCTAGATAAGCACCAGGAAGGAGGAGCTAAAATAACTAACCAATAAATCAGTAATCCTGAACTTGACAAAAGACAAACATGAACACACATAATTGTTCACAGGATCCATCTCTGTCTTAGCAGGGGAGGCTGAGGATTCAAGCCCTTCTTGATTGTCTGGATACGGCCAAGACCTAACACCAGGTGAAACCTGTGTCAGAATCACGTCCAAGTCCCTGTCATCTCCTGTTTCCTTGCAGGGGCGGTCATCCCCTGGGATACTTCCCAACCAATCATAGCATTCCGGCATGACATACTCTTGGGTTGGAAACTCCGCTTCCTCTTCCAACCTCAGAATGTACAAAGGGAACAAACATGTTTTAAACCCAGTGACACTCACAGTTTCAATAGAGTGAGAGCCAGCTAGCATTAACTTGACGTCAATACCCCCACTACTTTGAATCCTAGGCACATAGCACCATCAATACCATCATCAAGGTGTCGTTCATGGCCATGAGGATCGCTATGTAGGTCTGAAGCCAGCCTAGGCTTGGGGTAGTAGGTAAACATTTCCTAAAATGGTGAGTTGCCAATTCTTAAATATTCTTAGATGGGCCCCCCAAATAGTGAGGCAAGAGGCTCAGCAGTGTCATCATCATGAATGATGTCTTTGCAACCCCCTTCGATTTCCATCTCAAAGGGCTTCATCTCCTGCAGTCGATTGGGAAATATAGACTGTAACTCTTGGGAAGTAATGATTGGGAAGTAAGTGGAAATAATTATTGGAAAATAATGGATGGGTAGAAACCCTTGAGAAGAACTGGATAGTAACCATGGGAAGAATCCGCATAAACTTTGAAATCCATACCTATTGTTTGAGTATGTTTGAGTAAACTGGCACCAAAAACAATAACATCCCTGTCCTTCTGTGTGCTTTTCTGTTTGGTTGCTGGGCGCTTCTTAGTGGTACCTGAACCCTTCCTGGACGACGGCCTTTTCTTGGGGTTTCCATCAGCATCGAATTGCAAAATGCGGTCCAACCCCTCTAGGTCATCACTTTCATCATCATCTGGACCATGGCCTGGACCCAAGGGGACATGATCGGCATCCTCAGTTTTCTTACCCTTTTTACGATCTTTCTTGGTTTCTTTCGGTTTCTTTTCAGATTTACTCTTCTTGTCATCATTGGCATCCTTGGAAGAGGACTCTTCTGCTGAAGACCCATATTTTGGTGGCAAAGCATCATGACAAGATGATGATTGAGCTGGTAGAGGTCGTATCCCAGAACCTAAGTAGAAAAAACATCATATCAATGACCTCACATAGTGAATGATTGGGTGGGCATTCCAATTGTCCAATTGCTGCCAGATTCCCAGAACTTCCACTTGCCAAAGATGGGGCCTGAGGCCTCACTGGCGCCGCTGAAGAGGACCCCGTAGAACGGGATGCTCGTAGAACACTGCTGAGGCTAAAGGCCTCACTCGGATCATTGGATAGCACCATCTGGATAGTTGGAAATAATGATGGCTAATTAAAGAATCTATCTCACCATCTGGAAAACAGCTGGTCATAAATTCAGTGATAAATTTGGTGACCCAGGGATAGTTATTGATTTGTTGGGCCATCTGTTTTTGGTGAAACTTTGGAAGACTTGTATTGACATTGGTCCAGTACTGAACAAATCTGAAACTGCGATCAAAGGGCCGGAGGCTGGAAGGTAAGATCTTGTCCCACAATTTCGATGCTCTCATCAGACGTACTTCTTGCTCCCCTCTTCCCCATGGTTGGGAAACAAAACCCTGGAACTTTCTTGAGCCTGCAATCCCAACATAGTGGATGAGAAAAGTTTGTCATTAGAACCCTGAAGCATCTTGAAGCAACCACCCAAAGCAGAGTAAGAACAAAGGTGTGGCAAAAGTTGGTAGCATTTTTGCAGGGATCCTACACCACAGTTATGCTCCATGTGCATTTCAGCACATCGCAACAGACACCGGGTTGTTGCTCCACAGCGAACATCTTGGACATAAGGATTGAAAAAACACAACGATGTTTGAACATCATTTTTTGATTAGATGTTCATTGAAATAGTTGAATAATATATTAATAATAATAATAATAAAAATAGTATATTATATAATATAATATATATTATATCTATCAAGATTCTTGTGGATCCCGGTCAAACCCATGGATAGCAAAAAGTGAACCAAATCATGATTTCTCAAAATCAGATGCCCCAACTTTGTCAGGAGCTGAAAGCTACATCAAGCGCAAAATGCCTTCATTCACATCAAGGATTCCAGCTGTCAGGGCCACTGGACGGATCGGAACCACAGTCTTGGTTCCTCCTTCACCACTCGATTCCAGCCTGGGGTCAGGTAGGACAAAATACGTTTAGAATCCTGGAATGTTAATAGCTCAGGGACTATGTTGTTCTAGATTGTGATGGTGTAACTGCTACTGGGTCACTTGGAGAATATATGGAAATAAACATGCTTGAGAAACATCCCCAGTTTCTACATTATTTTTGGAGGCCTCAGTACAACATGCAATAAAATTATAACCCTTTACTGCATTGCAGGCTATATGGGAATACATACCTTCTATCATGTGTATAACATTTAGTGTATCTAGTTTCTTGGCACCTATGCTATGGTTTGGGAGTTTCTGTGATTTGGTTGTTGGACCCTTCATTACCTGAATGATTTGTTGGGAAATCCAAACTGATGAACAGAATTGTGACTGGATATATTGGTTTAACTGCTATATCTTTGATCTTTTTCATAGTTACAGTTGGGGGCCAAAAACATTCAAAACATATGGCCTGCATCGAAACCCAGTGATGAATGTGCTGTTGCCCTTGAACTTGCTGATCGAAAGCCCATTGCCAAAACTGTTGGCGGTGACCATTGCTTTGTCCTTATTCTTCTTTTTCCTCTTCTTGCCAGAATCAGCTTCGTCATCTTGTTTTGGGGGCTCAAGGACAAAAACCAATGGTTTCTCCGATGTCACTTGATCCCGCTCTTGATTGAGGGAATGGTGGCTGATCGCCAATTTGACCTACAGGGGTTGTCCCATAACACCAGAAATATGGTCAATTGTTATTCTTTGGATAGAATATTTGAAGTTGAACTTAGGGTTGAAATATTATCAGGATGTAACATAAGCTGATTTGGAACCCCTAACCTCCCCAGCGTCCTCAAGTTCATGGATGATCGTGTTCAGATCACATGGAGATTCGACACATGGGAGACCCTGCAAATGGACTGGCATCCCTTTGCGCTCCATCAGCAACACTGAGTTCATGTCCACATTGAAACTGAACCAACGTCCCTGGGGATCACTCGAAATTTCAGCAGCTTCCTTAGTATGCCCACAGTGCAGGAGACTTCGATCATCCCTTGGTGGTTAAAGAGAAGATGGCTCAGGCACAACATGCATGCAGCCAAGGGTCTGCACCATTCCTCCACTCTCCACTTCCATAACTAAACCTTATGTGATACTGATTGGGGCTCAAACATAATATTTTGAAATCATGTGGTTCTTCCCCAAGAAAATGCCAATAGGAAATATGTAGTTTGTGCCTACACTGCCAAGTAACAGCTCACGATGTTGGAGAAACTGATTGCGGGAACGGGTCACCAAGTACAGTGCTTCACCAGAGCCATCGGTAATCAATTCTGCTGAGCCATTGATGCTGAACTTGCGCCTGGCTGGCTTTCATGTTTTGAGAAAAACAAGTGGCTGGAAATCCTCCACAGGTTCAAATATGGAAATGTATAATAAACAAACCTGAAAATTCAATAAGTTTTGAAGGGACAAAGCCAATACAGCTTAGATACGGCTTGGTCAAGCTTGCAATGTCAGCTTCGGTGCAGGTGGTGAGGTCACTGAGCTTGATCTTTTTGGCCGGCCGCTCTGCGGCATCAGTGGTGGAAGGCCTTAAGGGACACAAGGGCTGGGCCACCAATCAATTGAGGATAGTGAGGCATTAACAAGCTTGTATCCCCTAACCTTGATTTGTGTCAATGATTATATGATTATTTTCGGCATTCATGGCCTTTCATCATCTTCCATGTAGTCCCCATCCACATTGAAGCCTTTGTTGTGCTCGACAATCAGCTCATGTGCACGATCTTTGGTTCCCTCATACTCAGTCCATCGACGAGCCAAAGACTGCAGCACCAGTAAGCGCCCACACTTTGCCACGCACACTTTGTACCCAACAGAGTTGTCAATGGTGTTGTTCTCCTGCAAAGCTTTCACCACCGGTTCATACTCTGGAAAGTTGGGTAGGACTGCGCTCCCATTCCGGCATGATTCATACAAAGCATTGGCAACTCGAGTCTGCAATGTGCCAGGCGCCGCGTTCAAGACCACTGATCCGCACATCATACGCTTTGAAGAGGCCACCTCCTGGTTGGGACCATGGCATTTTGATCCCACAACCAACTAAGTTCGTATTGGATTCCAAGGTCAAAAAGTTTAACCTTAGTATTGTAAAACATTTTGAATTTGTTTGCATTCATTCAAGGACCATTGCATGGCCAATTGTGGCATCTGTTTAGATTAGATCAAGAAGATTTGATCCCCCAAACTATACCTCATTTATTATCGGAAACCCACATTCATAAGAGGCTTGGGAACCAACCAAAAAAACCATTGAAGAGGCATAGATGTTTATTTAGTTTATTTTTCCCACTGGTCCCTGCCTCAAGTGCAGCCAGTGCTGGAAATGCATCGTAAGCCAGCAAATCCAGAATCATAGTGGTGTGCATGCTGGGAGGGATGAAGCTGGCCAAGGTCCGTTTCACGATGTCAGTGCCACCAGCCACCTAGAAGGGGAAAAGAAGCCATTTGGGATGACATTCCGTGCTTCCCCAAAACAGAGTAGTTGGGAAAAATGCCAAAGTAGTTGGGAAAAATGCCAAAGTAGTTGGGAACCTGTTTCATCTCCTGGGTGTCTGTAAAGGCCCTTCCAAGATGGGGCAGGTTCTGCCGGTTCTGCTGTGCCTTACTGGGATTGACGTAGTTCAACAAGAAATATAACTATAATAAACATATTAACTTTAAACTAAAACCAAATGAGATATAGATATTTCTTCAGTAATGCAGCTTAAGTGCAGGAGGTTTGAACATCTGGGCACGTTGCAGCATTTGCACATCATGAATGACCCCACTCCTGTATCCTGGTGAGGTTTTGAAAGCATTGGCGCGATCACGATGTATGACAGCAAGGCCAGTGATTGCACCATCCCGGCGACCATACACGGAGTCCTGTTGCTGCTGGGACTTTTACCCAACATATTCTTTGGTGATTTTACCCAACCTATTGTTTAGGGATTTACCCCAATCTATTGTTTGGGGACTTAATCCAGTCTGCATTGGTCAAATATATATATTATGTGTAATTTATAAAATCATATAATAAATTAATATGGTAATATATTCGTATATAATATAGTGAATATCATATTATCATATGATAAATATGTATATTGCTTGGTGGTCTGAACTCATCTACCCCAATCCCAGCATTGTTTTGATGGAGATACCCCCCATGATACTTTTCAGGGACCTAACTCAACCTATTGCTTTGACTTCAGGGGCTTGCTTTAAAATTTTGATATGTGGGAATTAAAAACCAAGACGCCTTGTCAAACACCCATGTGATGTTTCTGATCACCAACTGGCGTTCTTTCAGCGACAGATCTTTCCTTGGTGCTCAGCAAAGTTTGACATGTATTAGGGCAGAATTGAAAGGTCCAGGAACCATTTTTTGGGAACGATTGAACAAGTGCAAGGTAACAATTTGGTACAGGCATCCAGAAAATTCAAAGAAAATGTATGGCTTGAAGCATTTGATTAGTTTCTCAAGTCGGTACTTCATGTCTCGAATGTCAGAATCTTCCTGGTTGGGGCCAGTAGTTTCCTGCTCATCATCACTGCCAGACTCCATCTCATCTTTCTTGATGAAATCCATCAGCTCATCAGGTTCATCCTTGACGTCCTCATCCTCATCTTTGGAAGTTTTCACCTTCCTGCAGGCACAGCAGCCAAGCACTGGGAACAGGATATTGGATCTCCATTAAGAATTTTGTGATTCCATTAACATCGGTTAATTTGATGGGAACCTTTTCTAGGGAATCTTCATTGCTATGCTTGTTTCTATCAACAAAAAACACTTTCAGCTTACCAGTCCTCTCAGCAACTTGACCCCTGTTGGCATGAACCACAAATGCGATCCCATTGCGACGATAGAGGGCCAAGATGTTTGACACCGCTGTCACACACCATTCATACTTGTGAAGTGGCACAACTCCACAACATGGTAAATTGATCCAAAGGACCACACCGTGATCGTCCGTCGATCGGCACTCCGGTATGTCTGCGAATGCTTCATCAACATAGCTTGTAAGTAGGGGAAGCACTGTTGATTCCGCCTCCTTGGCTGCACCTGCAAAGAACCGTAAGTTCGATGCCAGGTAGGTTCCGACCAGGTCCCAAGCTCGTTTGTGAAGCTCCTGACATGGATCCAGTGACAAAACTTGATAAAAGTTTACGATAAATATTTTGTGATAACTTCAACAGGAAACTTTGATATGATTTCATTGTGAAGTTGGCCTTTGGGAGACACATTCAAACAGTAAGAGACCTTCTGGGAACCTAAGTATATTGATATTATCAGGTTTCCCTTCTTCCAATATCAGATCAATGAACTAAACATCATGAGTCCCACGCTCCCCCAACAATAGCACATCCCCCACAGTGACTGACAGAGCATAGTGAACCATTGAGATTCCAACTAGAATTAAATTTGGACCCTACAGCCATGGCCTCAAGCTGCCCAATCAGCTTCGTGCGCCGCTTTGCAGATTCTTTCTCACTCCTGAGATCGATGGTCAGAGGAGACTGAGTCATATTGGGTCTGGGTCATGTTGGCTAAGCATTTCATTGGCATCATAGACACGAAACAGAACCAGATCCAGGAAAAACATATCCCAATAAAGGTAAGTTTTCAGAAACATTCCAAAGAAATAGTTGGGTGTAGAAAAGTTTTGCTAGGCAAGACAGCTGGTATCATGATCCGCTGGCTCTCGAAAGTAATTTGGTCACTTTGGAGTTGCTGGACCCAATTCTGAAAAGCTGCAATCATGGACTTGGCATAGGCATTCTTTTGACGGTCTTGGGATTGCGCAATGAACTCTTCAACAGAGGCACCGCGAATCTACAGGGTGCAGACTCATAAAAACAAAATGTTCTGTATTATTGTATGGTAATCTCTATTTTCTAAAACATAATAGATATAAATTATTATAGTCAAGTCACAAAAAATCCTTTGCAACAAACCCTCATGAAACTTTGGGTTATCAAAAATCAAACCCTTTTGACTCTCACACCTCCAAGATGAAAGGGATGCGTTCCCAGGAAAACTCCTCAGCGGCTCTCATGATGGCGCCAAGATCTGCGTCCAAGCTCCTTGGCTGGGAAGAATGGTATGCTTGGGAAAACCAATCAAACTTCAATCTTGAGGGTCATGTTCCAAATGTGACGGGTTTCCTGGAAAACCCATCACAAATCAATATTGAAAATCAGAACCAATCATTCTACATCAACCCAAAATTCTTTGGTAGAATGATTGATCATACCGATCCCATTGAAATTGTGACGGGATTTCTGGGAAACCAGTCACAATCAGTGCTTTAGTGTGGGGTACAGATTTTGATTGATTTTGCAGGTTGGCTGGAGCCAACTCCATTTTTGAAAATGTGACGGGAGTTGCAGGAATCCCATGATTATCTAGCAAGAATGGTTGGCTGGCGCCAGCCAACTCCAAAATGGGATGTGTGACGGGTTTTATGTTTGGATAGCCAAGGTTCCCTTTCATGAACATGGCAGCATGTTGATCTACAATCTCCCCTGCAAACTCCTTCTCCATTTTCTCCTTCAACCATATCCACAAGCAACAAATGTCGAAGAGGGCCGTGCTCTGATCTTCATCAAGTTGTGCCGCTTTCTGCAGGGGAAAGCAGGATTAAGGGACGTTCATGATTGTAATGGGTCACATGGTCACACACTACAACACTTGGTCATACAACACCCCCCTCCCTACCAAACCTTCGACTTGTTGGTCGATTCCTTGGACACCTTTCGCTCGAAATCCTGCAAGAAGTTCATATGGAATTAACACTACATGAGTTGGTTCATATGGAATTAACACATATAGGGGGTCCTTCGTCAGACGGGCAATCCAAAGCACACATGTCTCCCCAGTTGAGCGAAGAATTTCACGGAACAGCGCTTTCCCATTGTATCTTGCACACTCTGATCGTGCTGTCACATTTGGCACCCAAAAGTCTTGCTGTAGAAGTTCAAGAGGAACACCTTCCAAATTCAAAAACATTGCAACCCTGAAGATAATGTTGGCTTTGAAATCATTGGGCACAATTGGTATAAGACAAAACTGCCTGAGACTTCGTGCTTGAACTGGTCATAATGGCTGTGAAGGATCTTGCCCATGTCCGGAGGGGAACGCATCCTTTGTGCAGCAAGGATGATTTCTTGGAACCCAAAACTACTAAAATTGGTTTTGAAACAAGGTCTTCAGATAAGAGTCAGGTTGTAGATGAGGGCTTTCCGGGCTGTGTCTATTCGATGTTTTTTGATGGTGCACAGCTTGTTGAACTCTGTGATGCATTTCGACAGCAAGTCCTTTAATGCCTTGGAAGCCCCTGGCTTGGCCTTAGCCGCCCGAAGCTCTACATCCACTGCTTGCCCTATAGCCCCCAGGAGATCCAAAGCACTTGGAGCTTGTTTCTCACTGGTCACGAAGCCAACTCCTTAGCTATCAACTAGATCATGAGGCCAAATGTTGAGGCTAAAGTAATCCAAATGAAACATTTAATTTGCATGGGAGATTCGTAGGGAATGGAGGTAGTGGTGGCTTGGGTTGTGAAACCATGTGAAGCTACACCTCACCCATCGGAAACTCCTCAGCATAGAGGTTACTTCAGGATGCTCAAGCTGCTCATTGGACCATTCCTCAGTAGCAACAGGTTGATGCTTGCTTTTTTTTCTAAAGATGAACCCAGCCCATCCAAAAGAGATATTCAGGTGGGAAATAGATCAAACCAGAAGTCAAGCCATGACTCAAGCTCATGTATGAAACAGCAAATGCTCGTCATGATCAAGACTTTGGCAAAGCCGTCATTGAAGCAAACACTATTGTCATCCACCCGTTGTGTTGCATCCGAAAAAGGAAATCGTGTATCAATCGCTTCTGCTGATGAACGATAACCACGGAGAAATTCAGGAAAGTAAAGACGACACTGCTCATTCTGTGGCCAATCTTCAGGGGCAAATTGGAAACAAGAAAGGTCAGTTGTAAAAGTCCCCACTTCCCTGTGACAAGCAAACACAATGAATGGTTCCCCAATTAAGTCCCAGACAGCCGTTCTTGGCGTCTTGTCCCACATAAAATGCAGTCAGAGGAAGCCAGAACTCAGCAAGGCTATTCTGAGGCACCAAGGTCAAGGTGGGCTTCGGGTCAATGTTCTCAAATCGGTCGATAGTCAAGCGCTGCAGCACCTGCAGGTGAAGGCATTTAGTCATCAACATATATTCCCAGGTACAAATCAATTAATCCCACTATGCATACAATAAATAAGAAAGTTAAAGTGCCTGCTTCTTCACTGCGGGATCACCTAGAACATCTTGCACATGCTGCCCCAGGTTGGTTTTGGCAATCACCTTGAAACAGAACCCAAGGTTTTTGGGAAGGAGGGGAGGAGAGGCCATATGACAACATTTCATCAGTTCCGTCACATACACACATAACCAAGGACAGGACAGTATCAAAGTAGGCTTGGAGTTCCTCTAAGGGATTTCCTTGCTCTTGCTTTACACCAGCCCCAGCCATGATCTCCAAGGCCAAGCGGGGAAAAGAAGGGTTGCTAAGGAGCCACACACATGTGATAACATGTTGAGGTGAGGTGATGTGAGGTGCAAGCACAAGGCCATGAACCAATGTGGAAACTTGAAGTTGCTCTAAACATCCTCCAACATTTTTCCAACTTTAAGCCGGATACCCCGTAAAGCACACGAACAAGCCCCAAGTCACAGGGTCAGGTTGTGCAACAAACCCCAAAACTCACAGTACCCAGCAGCACAGAAGTAATTACCCCTGGCCTCGGCTGTGGTGAAAAACAACCTGTAACCAATGGTTTCTTGGTTCAGGCGGTTCTGCTCCCAGTTGAATATTCCCCATAGGAGGCTGTACCATTGGCCCTGCTTCCAAGAAACCAATCCTTGAGTATGGTTTCCTGGGCCGACCCTGATCAATTAAGCTCCTGTAGTATCGTACACTCCTTTCCATGTGAGGGAAATCCTTGCTGATAGCATCAGCAATAGCGGCTAGATCGGCTGCACGATCTGAATCTAGAGATTGCTGTACAACATGCTCTGTACGGTTCACTTCATTAAAATAGCGCTCAGTGCTACTTTGAAAGGCTGTTGGGTATACCAGGAGTGGAGGTTGGATGAGAACTGTATCACTCATGTAACTCTTCACCATGGCGAACACATCTCTAAGGTCACCTTGGGTCCGTAACCTCCTCGGTACATTGTCATCTGTTTGTATTCCATGTCCTTGTCCCGGCATGTCTGCAGGGGTATCAAGACAGTACAATATGACAAACATTTTGTTTTTGCAACATTTGTTTCCAACACTGGTTTAGACCCCCAGGCCTTCCCGGCACATGAATGAAAAGGATTGAGGAACTTTCATGTTGGTCTCTTCATCAGACTTACGGCCACGATAAGCATTCTTCAAAGTCGATGATGTTGGCATAAGCTGACACCAATTTCTGACCTTGATTCAAACCAGTTTATTTTTAAAATGGAAACACCCAATAATCTGAAATCAAAGTTTCAGCCCACAGCTGCACACACATCCCAGGTTGAAGACCAGCAGCTGTATCGATATGCTCAATCCTGAAGTCCATGCCGCTCTTGTGAAACAGGGGGCTGAGCTTCTTGTGAAGACACCTGGGCAAAGAGTACGGGGTTATATTAATTGTTATATAATTCAATGGTTGAATTTTGGAGAAATATGATAAACATGATGGGAGTAAAAGCTGCCCCTTGAATAAAAACAAGTAACCGATGGATATCAGCTGGGCTTTCCAAATCCCTCTCTGCTCGAAGTGCTGCAGTGACCAAGGAGAACACACCATCTGGGCAGGGTTAACTTAACTCTTTGATGCTCATTGCATGAAATTCAAAAAGCATCAAAACAAAATGAAAAGAATTTGAATTCCAAATTTCAACATTTTTTTTTTCTCTGACCCTTGCCTATGTCCTCATGAGTGTGGCCCACCACCATATGGTGGTGGGCCACACTCTTGAAATACTTTCCCTGTGTCAGCAAACAGGCCCACTTCCCAGTGTAAGAATTGCGCAGTTCTTTGGGTGTGTTGTCGCCCTGGATCCAAAGCCTCAAAGTGTTGATTTGGATCTTGAACCCTAACTTACTAACCACTAGTAAAAAGTTGAAACAAAATCCTAAGTTTGAAACTCCCTGGGCATCTCCTTGTTGGAAGCCCTTCGCCGTGCCCAGGAGTGGTCGATAGACTTCATCACCTTGGCACGTGACAAGGCAGATTGGCAACAAAAGGTGGGAACAGGAAACGTCAAAAGACATTGCCCCTCAAATTGTTTTTCAACCATGGGACACATTCAAGGGTCCAATTTGAACCACCAGGCATTCCTTCATCTGAGGTGTATCGATAAAGTCCCATGCCGTGCACTATGCACCCTGTGAGGGTCAAGAATGTTCCTGAGCTGGGGTCAACATGTGTGTGTGTGTATAGCAAGAGGTTAGATGGGAAGCATTTCTGGCAATTTCAAACAATCAAGAAATGGCTAATTCTCAACCAAAGTACGCCTTGTGTTTTCGTAGAGACTTCTCTTTGGGGTTCGTCCATTTGGAAATTTGGGCAGAGACATTTTTGCATGGTCATAACTATCCACGATCACCACTAATAGGTCTTGTTGAACCCTTGCTCGTTCCTTTGCCAGCCAGTAAATCTGGCGATCACGCCAGGTCCTGGTGAAGTGAGCAAAAAGCTGCCTGGAAATTTCAGCCTCTCGCCTGAAATCCTGAGTGAGGGCAAGGTTTCACAGGAGATGCTTTTTATGGAATCACTCAGATATGATGGGGTGGTCATTATGCTACATACTAGCTATTTGCAACTGGGATTCTGTTGTGTTCTGAAGTAGTGATCGGAGATGTGCACAGGTTGCACACTGAGCATGTTGTGTCTTCTTGTGGAATCGAAGGCACGGTTTCCATTCTTGTGCCACTTGAAAAAAAGTAGCTCTACAAGCATGAGGTTCATTCTTAACACCAGCATAACTCTTGTACATCAAGAACAATTCTGACCACGACCCATGTGGCAGCTCACGGAGTGGCAACCGTGCTGGATCATGATTGAAAGACACCTGGAGAGCTGCCCCAAGCAATTTTGAATCCACTAATCGCTGCATCAACTCCTCTTTCAACTCCTCATCGGCTTTTTTCAAGGCCCCTTTTGAAGCCACCCTTAGATTCTTTGTTTGATGTCATTGCAACCCAAAAAAAACACTGGGCATTCTGAGATACTAAACCCCCAGTGCATACGAGTTGCTCCTTGGTCATGGGTTCAGCTGATGACCAGTACATGTGCAGCATGAACGCTCGAACTGAGGCTGATTTTTCAGCTGGCTTGCTGACAAGTCCTGAGAGCTTGGATTGCAGGTGCATGATTGGAAGTGGAAAATCCATGGGGTAGTAGCATTGTTTATTTATTTACACTACAATTCGAGGCAAGCCTCGACCAAAAGTAGATCGACCATCTTTCCCAAAGCAAGTTGATTTACATCGAGCCAGCCGTCTCCGTCCAACCCCGATCAAGTGCATCCATGCTATCTTGCAAACTGGATGTCCTGCAAAGATTCAATGGGGTGGGCTGCAAAATACCAATTAGTGTTAGTTTCATCCCATAGCAAACAACAGTGTTAGCTGACAGGGTTTTTCAAATTCCAGTCCTTCAATGAACCAATCTTTTTTCGTGCCACTCCCTGGATTCTCTGTTTGAATTGTCCAGAGTACTGTGTCCTGACCCTCTTTTGTCAAAAACCAAAAGGCCAGACATACCCGTAGAAGCAAATGCATGGCAACTTTGCACTTACATTTGCAAGCAGGTTTCTCCAATGCCTCTTTGATTCTAGATTTGGAACGACCATTCTTGGCAAATTTCGATTTAGATCTCGACTTGTTTGAAGCCACTGCATGCATGGACTGCAACCGTTGAACAGAGATGTCTACTCGGCCCCTTTCATATGCAGTGTCATCATCACTTGAATCACTTGTGCCATCAGAATCAGTGGACGAACCAGTGGATGAACCAGTGGACAATTCAGCATCAGAGGATGCATCGCTGCTGCAATCCATCCTGAGTTTCACCCGCTTGGTAGATGGTTTCATTTCTTAGCGTCTTAGTGTTCACATGGCAGGAACAGCTACAACCACAGTATTGCATCCGGGGCACTCTGAAGAAGACGATGTTGGATCATATCTCCCCAAAGCACAGGAACCAGCAGTATCAGCTTCGGCATCATAGCGGTGCAAAACAGGCATAGCTGACAAAAGGAATTATGTTATAGGTCCTGATATATCATATTGTTTCCTATAACCTATCCAGTTTTCTATTGTGTTCAAATGCCATTTAGAGTTATAGGTCCTTCTTTTAACAACCATTAATTAGTGATTGTTCAAATCTGTTCACATCATTAGTGATTGTTCAAATCTGTTCACATGGCCAAAAGCCCCAAACTTCAGAGCATAGCAGCACAGTACCGAAGGAATCAACAGAATGGAGATTTGTAAACTATTGGACACAAATTGGAGCTCACTCTCATTCCACTCAATGAGCAATTGGAAGCCATTTTTGACCCTCATTGCTCTTTAGTACTGGGCCATTTTGTCAGGCCGGGTTGCAGAGATAGCAGCAGCCAACACAGCTGCAATCACTCGGACACTCATGCTGTTCCCTGCCAAGTCGTGCAAAACCTTGGCTGTCCAAAGAGATGGTCATTTGGGAAGAATTGAAACATGTCCATTGTTGTCATACAGGAGTGGGGGTAAACAAGCCATGCTACAGAGTCATCCACAACTTCCAATCGTAAGCGATGAATGGGGAATCCCATCAAAGCGAACAGCTCTCGGCCAGTGATGTAACGTTGATGAGCAAGTGAAAGCCATTTCCCTTTTGGCCTTAGAAACAGGGCAGCCCAGCTATATATATCTTTGGTACAAGCTACAATCTGACATGGCCATTTTTTCATAGTTTCCACATTAATTAAGGACAGTGCGTGATGCATGGAAGTGCTTCATTGGATCGGCGTGCAAAAGGAATTTGGCCAAGTGATTGGGAAGTGTTTGCCACCACAACATCTTGGTGGACAGCTGTGAGTAGTGCAATAGCCTCGCAAAACACATTTTGTTCGAAAGGGTGCCCCTGAACATGTGTCAAACATCACAAGAAAAGGGGCATTTTGAGTGGACGGGCCTCCATTTCACGACGGGTGGTGATGTACCGCCCTGCGTCTGGGTAATTGACCAAAAACTGGCTTCTGGCCACTGCTACATTCACCTGGCCAGTGGTGACTGGAGGTACAATAAAAACTGAGTTATTTGACTGGGTTTGTTACTCTTTTGATTATTTCTCCTTCACTCAGCCCCACCTCATTCTCCCTTGCCCAGCATCTATGGCGATCAATCCACTTTGCGGATCGATTCAGGGGCCTCAGGTTGGAAAAGTAATTCACTTCTATTACAAGGGGTATTGGGTTAACAAGACATCCCATTGAGCCCAGCCACACTTCAGCATTTCTACGGCGCAATTTCTCCCTCTTGTAGCAGTCATTCTGAACCACATAGTGATCATTGGGAAGTAGCAGGCTTTCCCTGGTTTAAGACTTGTTTGTGTTAGTGACATCCAACGTCCAGATACAACACTACATAACACTACAATAGGAAAGATGAATGTTTATACTGATGACAAGAAGCCATGTGTGCTTCACAGGCATTCCCATTCCAATGAGCTTCTGTAGAATGTAGTCATCAAAAGGCTGACCCAAATCATCTCTGATGCAATCTCCTCGAACCAAGATGATAAATATCCGCCTCCTAGACAACGGTTGTCCAAAGAATGTCCTTAGATATCTACAGTTTGAAACCCTTGAAGACATAACAAGAAAGGATGGACAGTCAGCACACCTGCAGATGCTGCCGAAGAACGGGGTCAGAACAGTGGAAGTTATTTCATACCTTATCTTGGTTTCAGCCCACATGACACATACACTTCATTGAAACTGCTGTCATCATAATGCAACCAAACTACCCAGGAATATTCATTCTGATCAGGGACAAGACTTTGGATAACACAGCACGGAAGCCCATGACATTCTCTAGTGTAGCAACCTCACAAAGTGATTTTCTGAAGGGAAGACCACTGCATACTTCTGTTGGAGGCATGATCTTTTCAACAAAATATTCAACCAAGAAACCTTTGGTCGATACCTACGCACTCGCTTCAGAACCTTGTAAAGTTGCTGAGCATTCTGGTCGTGGAGCATCAACCGTGTAGTTGACAGCAAAGAATAAGGGGTACAGGGAAATCCTGCACAATATGCACTGACCTTAGATACTGAAAACTAAAACTGGAAAGATACAACCAAAAGAATGCAACACATCCAAACCCACCTGAACCAACCCCAGGCAGCAACCCAAATGGCAAGGGGCATCCAGGATCGAGAGGCGGTCACACTCAGGTGTAAAGATATCATCACAAATCCTGGGCGGGGCCCAAGCCCAAACAAGGTGAAACAAGAAAGCGAACTGACAAAGTTCTGTATGATTGTACATTGGGTAAGTCAAGTATCTCTTCAAGATTTGCAGTGTTTGACTCCAGGAAGATCCGCTTCTGCATGTTGATTTCTGATCCTGACCTGGGTGTCAGAAAAATGAACTAAGTACTGTATGTTGCAACTAGGGTTAGATATCTGGCCATCAAAAAGATGAACAATGAGATCCTGGCTTGTATGTCAAAGAGTCAGCCTTACCAGCTGCATGAAAGAGCATATCCAGCGCTTGAAACGGAGCATCCGCCCCACTACCTCAGAAATGAATAGAAATGATTTTAAAAAGGCGTAGCAGCCCTGCAGGTTCAAATATATTCAAACCAGGCACAATCACTAGCGTATGTGAACTGCCCAGCGAAATTGCCCATCCAAGATTGCAATCCTTAATGGCAAGCACATGTTCACAAAATAGTTTTATGTAAAGGATAAGAAAGGTAACTGTGCATCAACATGTGTGAAGCAATGCAGGAAAAGTTCCGGAGGAATTCAAAAAGGTAGGGCCAATCTCTAGGTAGTCAATGAGTTGCTTGTCAAGTTGTGGTTCCTGCCCAGAAAATAAGATCAACAATGTGAGAAAGGAAAAATCACCAAAACAAAATGTTGTATGTAATGAAACAGCCCCTCTCCTCATCTCCAGAGCTGGATGCACTGCTGGATGCACTGCTGGATGTGCTGCTGCTAGACGATTCCATTGCAGCAACGCAACCCCCATTCTTGATCCAAAGAGGCAGTTGGATTTCAGAAAAGACTCACATACAATCAGACAAGACTATATATACATAAACATATATATATATACATAAACATATATATATACATAAATATATATATACATAAACATATATATATATACATAAACATATATATATATACATAAACATATATATATACATAAACATATATATATATACATAAACATATATATATATACATAAACATATATATATACATATATACATATACACATATATGATGTGTATATACGTATATATACATATACACATATATGATGTGTATATACGTATATATACATATATATATACATAATTATATACACATACATATTCATACATACATATTTAAACACGTCCTTTAAAATCAGATATTTTTTCAGAGTGTCCTGGAGAAGCCTTGTGGTCCGAGGTCAGCATCTTAGCCGCGATCATGGGTCAGGTTCAGAGGAAAGTGAGCTCGAAGTACCAGGATGAGCCGCTCAGTTGCGGGGTTGATATGGCTCAAAAAAGGGTTCATTTCTACAATGTGGGGCCCCCAAGATAGCTAAGTTGGTTTATAACTACAATAACTAGGGTTTATGGTAGTTATAACCATAGTTAGATGGGGTTATAAACCAACTTATAACTAGGGGGCCCCACATTGTAGGGGGTTACTGTAGATTGGGGAAAGACCACTGATGGGAAAGTAAGATGTTGATGGGGGTTACTGTGTATATATATATATATATACTTTAAGTGGTTGATGGAGGATTGTTACACCGCACAAAGCACAAAATGAGTCATCAGCGTCCAATAGGATCCCAGTAGGATCCCAGCAAAGATTGACAAAAACACCTGGGCATGAGAAGTTGGTGAACTCACATCCTGGCATTTCAAGCGGTGCTACAAGTCACAAGACCTACTCGCGGAAGTAGACGTGTTTGAATCCTCGTGCTCTGACGAACTGTTTGGAAGATGTCCTTTTCTTTTCCAAGGACAGCAGAACTTGGGAATATTGCCTCTGAGACCTTTGGGAATCTTCGCACGGTGCGTGCTTTTGCATGTGGGGAGAAGCTTATGGCGTACAAGTATTGCACCTGGACCCGACAGAGAGAGAGAGGGAGCGAGACACTATTTGATATTACAATATGGTTTGTTTGATCCCTACATCGTCTCTTTGGCATTCTGTTTGCATTTAACGGCGAATAGATCAATCCTTGCAGAGGTTTCAAACTCAAACCAATTTTCCAGATGTTAGCCCAATTCTTTTCACATCGAGACACAAATTTGGATCATCGTTTTGTGGATTCCATGTTGAGGTTCTGCCAGTGATCGCGTGTATCTCTATGGTTGGAAACGTTCCATGATCTACGGAGCGTGGTCTGGTGTTGTTGGAGCCTTTGTTCCAATGGCACCGGGTCTTTCTAATTTCAGACGAGTCCAGCGGAATTTGATCAGATACGATTACAGTGATCTCAGCTTGCCCTATGTGACCATGTCAAGGTGGGACTACTCTTCTTCGTTGCCTTCACCATTGTGTTGCGCTTCGGCACTGATCTCAGACAGCTTGGGCCTCTCTTTCCATGTCATTGTCCTGATTTTCAGGTGCAAGCCTGGTTGAAAAAGATGAGATGAGCTCGGGGGATCTGATCTCCTTTGTTCTCTACACTGCTGCTCGACTGCAGGGGAAGACACAGACAAGCACTTCTCTGGATGTTGTCGATTCGTCGATGTTCGATGTCGGGGATGTTGATGTATGAGGGCATCATTAGTTGTTGCATCTTCACTTGATGGCTGCACTTGCTTAGAATTGAAGCAGCACGGGAAGAATCAGTGGCAGGGCATGTGAGACTGGTCCACTGCGGGCTTTCCCTCAAGTATTTCGCATTTCTGGTATGTTCCACCACTAGCTGGGGTGCCACCGCACTGCCCATCATACAGTGTGGGGCCAAGGTGAGCTTGTCTGGATCTGTGGCAATGCTTGGCAGCCGGAAGCCCAATCGGAGATTCTTGCAGCAGACCTTGTGATTGGAAACGCCGACATTATCCAAGGACAAAATCCGAGAACATTTTGTTTTGTTTTTATTAGCCATTTGCAGACAAAAATCCTTTCGCATTAGGCATCATGCCAGCCTTCTCTGCGGCCATCGGTGCGACGCAAAAGATTTTCGAGATCATCGATCGTGAACCAGCAATTTGTCGAAGAATTTGTCCAAAAACTTCATGTCCTTTGCAAAATTCTTGTGCGCTGAGTGACGTCTTTGCGTCCTTTGTGACTGAAGTCTGATCCAGGGTTCTAATAGGAGTGTGTATGATATCACAGTGTACATATATGATATTTATATAATCTATTTATCTAGAATATATATATATAATTACATAGTTTTTCTCTTATACATATGCAGTACATATACATTGGATTGGCGCTGATAATCCGTCTCGTGGGATGCCTTGAAATAAACGGAGATGGACATGGCCACCTGGTGGACCTGGACATGGGTCTTCTATGGACGTTGAATAGCCGGCCACTCTTAAGGCACAGACAGATGGATCCCTGGAGCCTGAGCACTGCAAGGGGAAAATTGAGTTTGACAAAGTGTGCTTTCACTATGCAACCCGCAGGAACCTCAGCTGTTTAGCTACTGAGTGTGCATTGGTATTCTTTTATTTGCTTTCTCTGTGGTGAATTTGGGGCAGGCCCAGATGCGCAAGTGCTCAAAAACGTCAGCTTTCAAGCAGATTCCAACCAGGCAGAGGGATTTTTTTTGGCAGGCCATGCAGCTGGATGAAAGAAATCAGCAGATGCGATGGGTGACATGCCGCAGGTGGTGGCTTTGGTCGGCCAGTCTGGCAGTGGCAAGACCAGCTGCGTGTCCCTGTTGCAGCGTCTCTATGACTGCCAGGCACAGTTGCCGTAGTCGCTGGATGTCGCTGGGTCGTTGATCTTGTTGGCAGCATATCTGGCCAGCCCGGGAAGAATTCACTGACTTTACGGCACTTTGCTTGCGGTATCCTATGTTGCGATCGTGGCACAGGCTGGTGCTGTGAGAATCGATGGAGTTGACGCACCTTGGCCAATTCGGGAGATGGCAATCATTGGGAAGCTTTAGAAGGATAGACATGCAACAAGTAGATCGCTCAGCATTCCTCGGACAGTTGATTGACTCAACCTTTGAGTGCACGAGCGGTACCAGCAGTCAAAGTGGGCAACAAAGTTCAAGGGCTGACCGGTGGTTCAAACTTGACCGCACTTGACATGTTGCATCGTTGCAATTGGTTGCATCTTGGCCAGGTGAAAGAGCTGAAAATGTCTTTCCTCCGGAGAAACATGGCAGTCGTCTCTCAGGACACCACCGATTCCACCGATTCCGATCCTGGCTGCAGATGGTCCAAAGCCCAAAAAGGCTTCAATTTTGGTTCCTAATTCCCAAAAGCCTTTATTCGCAAATACTTCATTCATATCATTCATATTGGTTCATATTGGTTCTCTATATTGTGATTATTTTGTGATTATTGTGCGCTGCTCTAGATGACTCCCATGCTTCCCTTAGACTTCCCTTCTGAGGAGCCCATCCTGTTTGCCATCAGCGCCCGGGAGAACATTGCTTTCGGAGTGGAGGCGCAAAACTTCGAGCGGTTTGGAAGGTTGACCCGAAGGACTCAGAATGTCATCGCACATATCGCACCTGATGTATAGTAGCATATAGATACATATAGTAACTATGTCAGTAACTATATATCCTTAACCTGAAATATCCTAAATCAATCTGAATCTAATAAGCCACACGAGTGTCATGTCCAGCATCACCGGTGATTTCTGGAGGAGGCCGATCAGACAAAGCTGGAGGAAGCTGCAAAGCTTGCGAATTGCCTTGGCCTCACAGCTGTCACAGCTCTGCAAATTTATCGGAGTTGCCAGCTCTGTGAAGAGCTTGTCCAAGAGGCATTTCGAATTCCACAAGCTTGCAGGGTGAACTCTGTATGATTTTGTTCATGTTTGAAGATCAAGGGTTACTGTGGAGAATTTGCTCTGAAAAGGTGTTTACATTGCATCCTCTTTGAGGTTTCTGTCAGTCTTTCTTCCAATGCATCGCAAACGGCTGCAGTTTGGGTTTGCCTCTGCGAGGCCATGGCTTCATCTCGGAATGGGAAAAGGGATACGTCGCTTGACCGCGTTTGGACGAAATTTGTGCGATTAATTAAACTCGGCCGGAGGACCGAGCAGTGGCAATTCATACAGTGGCTATGGTTTTACGCCTTTAGCTGAAACACATGATATTGTTTGGTGGCTGAACGGCTGAGTTTTCTTTGACAAATTCAGACTTCAGACAGATATGATATATATATATACATATGTATGTGTATATATATATTTAACAGAAAAGGACGCTGTGCGCCCGTGCGTTTTGCACTGTTTTCCTTGCAGTGTTTTGCAGTGTTTTCCTCCTGCAGTGTTTTCACATCATCAAAGGGCCACAATAGGCCACAATATGCCCAAATATGCCAAAATAGGCCACAAAGGTCCAAATAAACAAAAAAAAAACAAAAGAAACAAAACAACCAAAAAAACTAAAAAAACAAAAAAAAACAAACAAAACAAAAAAACCAAAGATTTCTAGAGACTGTAGGCATTGGGGGCATGTTTTTTTTTTTGTTTTTTTTGGTTTTTTCAGGCCCCAAGGGAAGGATGCAGAGAGTTGAGTCTTTTCATGCCCCAAGGGAAGGATGCAGAGAGTTGAGTCTTGTCATTTGTTTTTCTTCTTGCCAGTCAATGCATATGTCAAAACAGAGAATGTGTAAAGAGGAGTGCAAAAAGCACACTCTCACAGTCCCCTGTTCTGAGAGCGGGGAACTGTGAGAGTGCCTTTTTTTCACTGATGTTGCATCAAGATATCATATATATGCCAACGATATTGCTGCAAGATCTCATCTATATGATATATATATATATGCATACCTCAAAAATTTCATCCAGCTGGGTCACAAGAAACAAAACATATTGCACATGCACAGGGAGAAACTACATAACGCTATCAACGGTTCTATGTCAAGAATCTAATTTTATTGTTGACGAAGGGTTCCTTCAAATCGTCATACGTCATATCTTCCGCTTCCAAAGGCATGACGGGCACACGCACCAAGTAGCTTAGAAGGATAGGGCACGAACTACGGACTGGAGCATAAATATACATAGATAGTGTGACAAGTCATGCGATACAACCTGCAGCAATGAGAACAGGTCTTAAAACTCATTATATAGGGACTTTGTCAAAAATAGAGATTTATATGGAAATTACACGGGCGTGGGGCGTCCCCCTCTCATATTTAAATACAAGTATATATATATGTATACATATATATATACATGTGTATATATATATACATAAATATGTATATATATATACATATTTATACATACAGACATACATACATACATACATACAGACAGACAGACAGACAGACAGACATACATACATACATACATACATACATACACACTCAGTATAAAAGCACATGAAAGCACATACACACAAGGTCACCATATAAGTGTGTATATCTAGAACATTGCTAGATATGAAAGGTCCACCCAAGACTTGGTTTTAGCATGCACTTTTTCTGGGCAACGGTTCAGCTGTGTTTTGCCACGTTCCCAAGACATGTTTTGCGCCATTGAATCTTCGCAGCTGCGTGGAGTAAGGACACTCTGGTTGGTGAGCGAGGAATCCAGCTGAGTGGAGGCCAAAAGCAGCGAGTTGCTATCGCTCGAGCAGAACTCTCAGGAAAGTCAGCAGTCCACAAGTCGTACGGCATAGTCAGAAAGTTGAATGGTGTGGTTCAGTGTCTCTGACCTCTTGATCTTGATAATTTCAATATATTTATTTAAAATCTGCACTCAACTTGGCAAACTAATCACACAATGATTTTGTAACTTTGGGATCTTGTCATATCTTACTGTATCCAGATTATTTGTTTATGATTACTGTGTAAAGGCTCTCACAGAGTTTGCATTGCTTAGGCCATCCTTGCGAACCCGACCATTCTCCTGCTGGACGAGGCCTCTGGGTTCTCCCAAAGCGGATGTTGTTGAGAATTCCATACACGAAAGGTCAGCAAGGTCAGCAAGGTCAGCTGCAACATGCTGCAACATTTCAGATACTGCAAATGCATGCGATTTCTTAGCTTTGAGATCTTTACGGCTCCGGCGCAGAAACTCGCGCTCAAGCGGGCCATTCTTGAGCACATCAATCGTGTTGACACCTGTTCGAACGTTCCATGAAGCATCATGAAGCTTTTCGTCGCAAGTGAAAGCAGTGCTGTGGTCATTGGATATCCGCGCCATGGCCTCTCACATTCGAGTACTGGAGAAACTCTTGAATGATCTGCGTGCCTGGGTCTCAGCTGCGGTAGAACAAATTCAGGATTTGAACCTGAAAGACCGGAAGCTTCTGTGCTCCAAATCTTTCTGACGTTTTTTTTTTGCCACGAGACGAAACTTGCCCTTGCCAAGGATCAGGATTCAAGCGGCAAGGAGGCTAATCTTGTGGAAGGCTTGCGGCCTTGGTACACATAGGATTGCAGAGTCAAAAGCTTCATACAGCGAGATCCAGAGTTCTCCTTGTGCACTTATTTCACTTATTTGCATTTGCGCTTAGAGTCTACAAAGGGCGGTTCAACATGTTTCCGAAGCTGACTGCATGCTTGAGCACTCAGGTGCCATCAGGGACATCATGAAGTCACATCCTGAGGCAGAGCATTGTGGGAGCCGCTAGGCAAAGATGGCGCGAAAGCCTTTATCTATCTTCATCCCATTTATTTGTACCATTTATTACTATCCAGCTCACCAGTAGCAGGCCCAAAAACTGATAAGCTGAAGCTTGACATTGAAGGGAGTTGCGCATGACAGATATGCAATTGCTCACCAGCACAAGAAAAACCAGGATTCAAACAGAGAATCTGCAAAGACCCGGAAGGAGGCTTCAGGAGCTACGATGACGACTCTGACGATGAATGATGGACAATTTCCAAATAGATATAAATAATTTCAACATATAGGTCTTTGTACTTGTATAGTAATTTCATTGGAATCGTTTTCTAAGGGCGGCGCAGCAACCAATATTTGTACGTATATTGCCGTCAATGGAGGAACACAGGGTATGCTGCAATGCTTGGTATGCGTGTGCCGACGGCACCACGTTTGACCAGTGGTCCTGCACGACGCAAAATCTCTGCTGTGACTCAGCCTGTGTCTACTGGGTCAGAGGATCACAGCCTATCAGCACCAAGGATTCTGTGGTCTTCACAGCGCAATCGCCCAACTTCAGGAAGATGCTAACTCGTCACTTTTCCGCAATCACAAGACAAGTATGGAAGAATTCATGAACATGTTGAAACATGTTGCACCATTGCCTCCTGGTTTAAATTCATCAGTTGCTCTGCTAAATGCTTCTAGAAGCGCACTCTGGACCATGCTGTGTAGTGAGGTGAAGGAGTTGAACACGCAGAGATAACTAGCCATAGTATGCCATAGTAATGAAAGAAACAGGTTTGACATGGTTAAGCATCAGAAAAACCAGAGTTGATGTGTTAGTGTCATGAAGTGTCTCACCTAGACCATCTGTGACATACTGGAGATTCAGGCCTGAGCTGGCACGGCAAGGCCTGTTACAAGCTGCACAGGTGTCTCAGATGTGCCTGGATACCTTCATGATTTCCAGATGACTCCGCAGTAGATTTCCATAAATGGGTTCCCCAAAATGGATGGTTCATAGTGGAAAACCGTCTATAAATGAAAATGGATGATTTGGGGGTACCCCATTTCTGGAAACCCTCGTAATACAGGGTACTGAGAACGCAACATTTTTGTGATGAAGTGACTAGCAAGGTCTTGCTGGCGGCAGATCTTGGCACCATCCGGCGACTTTGCGGCAGATGTTGCTGTTTCACAAAGCTGGCCTCCTTTGCAGAATGGTACAGCTGGCGTTAGAGTTGCGTTGATGACTTGAGACAGTATCTTCATTGATCAACCAGGGCTAGGTGGCGATTTGGACATGCTTTCCAGTGTCGTAGGTATTCTACGCAGCTTCTTGTCCGCACAGATTTGTTGATCCGTTGGTTGAAAGGGTTCGGCCTTGGCAGAGCCAGACCGCTTCACTGCCTATTCAACAGCACAACAGCCTTCCTAAAACCCAAAGACAACCTGTATGCGACTTGATCAAACTTGATGCTCGAACACATTTGAGAGATCTAAAGAGACTTCTATGGATCTTTGCGGAGCCTGGACAGCCTGGAGTTCTTTTTTTGTTGGCTGTCTTTAGTTAACACGGCTGTTGCTCCCTCGTGGCTCCACAGGCTTCATGAGCCTGAGCCTGGGCAAAAAACATCTGCGAGGCCTCCTGGGTGGATGGTGCATGGATTTTTGCAGCTCAGTTTGGTGGATTGTACAGATTGTCCAGGTAATATTTTTTCATGACTTGGGACTTGGGTCAACTTAAATCCTATTTGCTGGCAGTCTTTTTTTTGACATCTCCTGCATTGATATGGACTCGAATTACTACTGATGTTTGTGCCAGATTTGGATACATATGCCCTTCCTCTCACAAACTGAAAACGGAAATGGGGAGTTTCAATGTAAGTTTGAAATAGGACTCCCCAAAATCCCACGATTGATCACCCATACTTTCCCAATAAAAATAGTACTGTTGGGCTATCGGTTTTGGACAATCCCCTGAAGGCTCCAGCTTTCGCGACGACAATGCCTGGAGATCCTGGCTGCGGGATTCTTCGGTGTACTGCACAGAAGGTCGGAGTGAAATTGGACTGTGAAGGGACTGGTAACTGGAATGGAACCGTGGATGTACACTTACTCGTACAGATGGATGAATGGATGGATGCATGGATGGATGAGTAGGTACATAGATCGAAAATGATAGAAAGACATTTAAATAGTTTCAAAAGGTGGTTTAGGGTAGTAGTACAAAGGCTCTAGAATCGCCTTTATCCAAGCCATCAACAGACTGGGTCAAGCTAGATGAAGATGCGTGAACAGAGGTCCTAAGGACGGCACTTGAGGAGACCCGCAAAGTAGATCCCATATGGATCCACGTGGATCACCTGAAACAGGGCAAATCCTAGAGATTGGATGAGATTGGTATAAGGACAGCATGAAAACAGTGAGAACAGTGAGCAACGGGGAACAACGAACTGTCTCCTTCGCGCATGCCTCAAAAACCACTAAAGTGACCTCGCGAGGCGAAAAAAAGAGCGAGAATGGCTGCACTAACCTCAGTTTGCCACGTAGGCCCTACAGATTCCCGCACCTACAACTTGTTCTCGTTCGCGCAATTTTGTTTGCCCGAATTCATTGGCCAACAATGGACCCGCCCCAGATGGTTTTGGCAATTTTCGCCAGCGGAAATTGGAAGGCATCCTCGTAGGGAACAGATGTGAACCTCAATGTCCGGTAGTTCGGATATCATATGCCCTGTGAACAGCGGTGTTGTACAGTAATAGTGCAGCGTTAATAGTGGAGCATGCGGAAGTTGAGTTCGCAACAGAAGGAATCGTAAGCTTGGGCATTCATTTTGTGTGTGGAAAACCAATCCTTGCGAGGTGGTCTGAAGGTACAGCTGATCCTGGGAATGGTGATATGCCTGGCTTCAACTTTTCCAAGCTTTGGCAGTATGACTCGGAGATGCCCGGCTCTAGTCCGCTCCGGGGGGTGCGATTTGGCCGTAGGGGGTGAGCGGGTTAGCTTGCTCACAACTCCCTCTGAACTCTTTCCTAAGGCCACTCCAATCTGAAAGATACCGATTCCCAAAAAGGTCAACATCAACACAGGGAATAGACGTTGAACCTCTCAGACTTTTCCAGATCAAACTCGCATTTTGAAAATGAGATGGCTGTGTTCATTACGATCACTGATCGCTGACTTGTCCTTGCACACAGAATCTGAAAGCTTCATGAGAGAGGTACTACTCGTATCAGCCTCATTGCTACGACATGCTACGACCATAGCGTAGGCTGTCAAATCTTGAGGGCAACAAGGTTTCCAATAGCCAGACGAAGAATGAAGTTCTGAAAAGGCCCGACAAAATTGGAAGTAAAGAGTAACTTAAACAAGACCAAACTGTTAGATCAGGTTGAACCTGTGTTTCTACTGGTTCCGCCGGACAAGGTTCCCAAGAATATGACAGCTGAGGGCTGTTCACCAGGATCCGCAAGTGCTGTTCAATGCTGTTCATAAGGAGATGGGAAACCAAGAACTTTGTCTTGATGGCTGTACTCATTTTCTTTGGACAAGCATCGAGGCTGAGACGCTTGGACCGAAGAGAGAATTTGTGCCTGAATGTTTAAGCCAATAGTTGCCATGTTTTTTTTTGAGTCTCTTCCGCCATGCATAGAATTGCTGCTACTCTCAGGTGATGAGATTTTGGATGAGAACCTCACCATCACAAGAAAGGTGTGGGGTTGGATGTCCTTTTGTTTCTGCAGCATAAAGTTCCCACACACATGGTAGCTTTGCCTTTCAAATGGACAGCTTTTGAGGCACTTGGTCGTCCTGAGCTTCCAAATTCGGATTTGGGTTTTTGCCCTGTGGAACTGATGGAAGATGGCGTCTCTATTCATAGCTTTGGCGGTGGCTTTGTCCAAGATTTGATGATTTTGATGCTGTTTGTGGTCTCGCGTGCAAGTTGTGTCCTTCTGACCTTTGCTCCATTTTGCTCCTGAAACTGGTCCAAAACAAGCGCGGAAGCCGAGGGAAGGAGCACTTGCAAGCCGACTTTGCAAATTCGTATTTGGGTGGTGGAGTTCTGAGCGGAGGCAGAAGCGGCTCAGCCAATTTCTTGCGTTGTGCGTCCAACTTCCAAAACTCTGTGTCGCTCCAGGCGGCACCCAAGAGGAGTGCATGTTTACGGAGTTTCCCGAACTTTTGGCCATCATCTATGTGACAGAGAGCCTTGGAAATCCCAGAACTTCTCTATGCTGAAGGGGCCAGACAAAAATTGGGGAGCGACGTTTGGACATGCAGGAAGGAACAGTCTGTAACTGATATGGTGGTTCCGGTTCCATGTGGTTCCCATATTCCTATGATCTTCTCATCATAAAATCCGCTTGGATTGTTGGGGTTGGGCGGGATGTTCTATAATTTGATGCGCCATTTCAATCTGCTCAGGAGAATGTTGCCTCATGAGGCGGTG